TGCACCAAGATCCTTTCGGGAAAGCAAACGCATTGTACTCAAAGGGAAGGTAGGCATACTGTGTATCAACAAGACCTTTACTAAAGGAAGGTAGGACTACTGTGTATCAACAAGACCTTTACTAAAGGAAGGTAGGCATACTGTGTATCCTACAAGAGTCTTACGAACAGTGAATTTTATCCCAAGATTCCCAACCCACAGTATTGTAGTTGAAATCCTTAACCTCGCCACTGGCCCACGTCTTTTGCTTGGATCCCACTTTTCTTTCATCTGGGAAAAGGGCAGATCACGGGACACTCTAGAATGCTGAAGTCTCTCTTGGCGAGTCGACGTACGTCATTGTGGCTTTGCTTCCCAGCTTTCTTTTTCCCCTTCCCACCTCATGCTGCTTCCAAATGGGCTGGCTCTGGATGAAGTTTCCCCTAGGTACAGATCTAGGATCAGCTTCCCCTCCCCCAATCCTGACCTTAACCATTAGTGGGAAAGATGCAAAACTGACCCAAGATCTAGAGGCAACATCACCCTATACCTATGGGCTGCCTGTCAGCTGAGAGGTCTGCGAGCGGCAGCTGAGTTGTAGGATTGGGAGCTTTGGCGATATTCCATGCTCTTCCCGTGTCACTCCCCACTCTCTGTTGTGAGGAAGTATGATTCAAGCTCACCCAAAGCAGTGTTTTCTACAAGTACATAGAGTAGCCAGCCAAATAGAAAAGGTAGCCATCCAGGCACACCCTTGGGCCAAAGGAGCTCTCTTTTGGTGGCCTCTGGTACATTCTAATGCCTTGATTCCATTTGACATTCACAGCGAATTTATTGAATACTTTATTGTGTTTACCTCCCGGATTGGAAAAAGTGTGTTGTGGTATTGTGTAGAAAGACATGACTTTACCATTTAAATTACTGAAAATGTATGAATTCAGTGTGTTAGTTATTTTGGATATTATCTAGATCTAGGCCTATATGATCTGGACTATTTTCTAAGTAAGAGAACATTCAACCTGTTCTTTGTTTTTTTTTAAAACATTTAACCCGTCTTCTCTTGAGATTTAAGTATTATTTACAGTTTAACACTGATGTTTGTTCTTTAAATTATGTATTTGATTAAAACAGTAAAAATGAAGTAAATAGCCCACATTATCTAGAAAAAGGTTTTGTTTTTTCAGGTTTCAGTTTTTTTCCAATTGTTTTCAGGATTTCACTCTCAAAATCAAACGTTTTAAATATAAAAACAACACAATTGGATGTTGTAAGTCCACAACAATGCTTAAACCACATCAGGAGACCGACCACTTTTGAGGTCTGAGAAAAGTATTGAGAAATGTAGATCTTTGGGTGTGGCTATCCTTTAATTCAAGTGTGCACCTGGCAAAAGGCTGTTGTTTAGTGGTGTTTTTTTTAGTCCACACGTGATGATAGAGTTTTGCAAAACAAATACCCACTGGATTGATGAAAATAATCATGATATCATTCTGCCAGGTAAGAGTAGGCTACTTTGTAGGTAACATTTAATTGAGATAGGTTTTTTTGGGGAAAGCCTTTCCATCTACCAGCAGACATTTATCATTAGCATTATCGCTAACTGCCACACAAAGTGGTAGACCGCACACACATAGACAGGGGCAACGCAAGTGGTCATGCATCGGTCACATTTATACAAAGTTTATATAAAGACAGTGAAGCAAATACTATTGGCCTGCTTATTTAAAGGCTGTTTTAGGCCCTTTTATTGCAATGCCTCTGGGATTGTGAACTCCAATTTAGATGTAGTACTAAGTCGGTTTTCAACACTCGCAAGTCACAATGCTACTTGTTGCTACATGTATGTAGCCTCTCTCTATCTTTCTCTGCAGACTACCAACTGCAAGGTGCTAATCGGTTAATTGCGTTGAGTTTCTATAAATCATATTCCTACCTTCAGTCTGTATAATGAGTTTACACGCTCAGTTCAATGTGTTTTCATATACCGGCTACTCAAAAGAGACACTGCACAGAAAGACACACACACCAACCTCTCAGGGATACAGAAAATGATCCCACCCATTCTAGATAATGTGCAAACCTAAGGTAAGTCTCACATTTCGGTAACATACAGGTTTTGTCACTGAACCCACTGCTTGTTTGTGTTTTTGGATTAAGGTCTGTAGTTGACCCTGGCAGCTCCCTGACTGATCTAGAACCAGAATTAAGCCCAGTGCAAACACAAAATGGTTCTCAGAGAAAAGTGAAGTTTCAAAACAAGGCAAGATTACATTAGACATTTCCCCTTCGGTTTAGCTCACAGGCTACCTGTACATCAGCGTACACAGGAGAGGCTGTTATGTGATACGGTAGCATGTTAGTGTTAGCATGTAGCCTAGCCGAGAGATCTGGCTGAACATGCTCTCTGTGTCCTGTCACGGTTTCAACACACGGTGTGTGTGTGTGTGTGTGTGTGTCTGTTTGAGTATCTAAGTAAGTGTGTGTTGTCTCTCTCTCTGCCCCGTCTATACAACGGCAGGGGAAACACTGAGTGAAAATGTATGCACTCACTAACTGTAAGTCGCTCTGGAAAAGAGCGTCCGCTAAATGACTAAAAATGTTAAATGGTCTGTCTGTGTTCCTACAGGACGCATGAGAAGGGCTTCTGCCAGCCATACCGGGGCATCGCCTGTGCCCGCTTCATCGGCAACCGCAGCATCTACGTGGAGTCTCTGCAGATGCAGGGAGAGAGCGAGAACCGCATCACAGGTGAGACCACACCCCCCCCCCCCCCCCCCCCCCACGACCAGCGTTATGCTCTGGGGTGAAGTTCCCCCTAGATGAGGATCTAGCATCAGCTTCCCCTCCCCAAATCTAACCTTAACCATTGGTGGAGGAAACTTCAAAACTGACCCAAGAGCAGCGCCATCTAGGGGCAAATTCAGTACACTGTGTTTTGTCTCCATTACTACCAGAGATACAATGTTGTGTTGTCTTATTTTGATTTAAAGCATAGTGCATTGATCAACAATACCCTGACGACGTCCATAGTGTTGCTCAGATCCATTCCAAGGCTGGTCAATTATTAGACAATAATACATGCATTTTATTGGCCATAATGTAGATGTTCCACATCCAGTTCAACACCTAGAATTGGAAAACTGGACACTGGAATTGGAATAAAAATGCAATGATCCCAAGTCATGAAGAAAATATTTTGTCTGCTTTATGTCTGCTTTGTTGGTTTAGTAGTGATGCGCCTTGCATTTATCTCTCAGTCATCATTCGCCAAATTGCTGCCCACTTATATTATACTGTTCTGACCCACTGTACAGCGCTTCTTTTATTTTCACTGTGACTCATATGTCCTGGGTAGGGTTGCAAAATTCTGGGAAACTTCAATAAATTCCCTGTTTTTTCCTGAATTCCGGTTGAGGGTTCCCGGTATCAGAAGGGAATAATAAGGAAATCTGGTTTCCTCCAACCAGGATTTCGGTAATACCGGGGAATTTGTTGAAAGTTCCCGGAATTTTGCAACCCTAGACCTGGGGTTGCCCATGAGAAGTTATGTCCCGGTGCGGCCCGTGGGGAGGCATGTCCCGGGGCGGCCCGTGGGGAGGCATGTCCCGGGGCTGCCCGTGGGGAGGCGTGTCCTGGGGCTGCCCGTGGGGAGGCATGTCCCGGGGCGGCCCGTGGGCAGGCATGTCCCGGGGCTGCCCGTGGGGAGGCGTGTCCCGGGGCTGCCCGTGGGGAGGTATGCCAAAATACAGTCACAAGCTCTGCTGGAGTAAAACACTGTCTGTTTCTCTCGCTTATTCACACACACACACAAAAATGCACGCACATAAACATGCCTTCGCACAGGCATGATGTGTGTTTTGAACGTTTCCATGTTTTCCAAGTGGTCGTTTTGTAGGATACATAAGGAAAGGATTATTTTTGTATAGATCTGGAGGCTATTAAAGTATGTATGGCAACCAAATCTGATTGGTGAAAATTGCCCTGGCAGATCGCGGTACATCAGATCTGTAAAATTGGGGGTTCTGGAGGTTTTAAACCTTTGGAATGCACGGGTCTCTACACAAAACAGATGCCAAGTACAGTTACATAACTTGAGTTTAAGATACCATAAGGACACAGAAAATACGACTAAGAAGTATAATCTTATCTCTAAGCCCCTCAAATGAAATTAATTCGAAGCAATAACTCTGTCGGAGAAGATATTGCCCCATGATTCCTCCATCCTAAACTCAGGCTGCATCCCAAATGGCACCGTATTCCCTATATAGTGCACTACTTTTGACCATAGGGCTCTGGTCAAAAGTAGTGCACTACATGAGGAACAGGGTGCCATTTCGGACGTACCCCCATTCTGTTTGGCATGCGTTCTCTCGGGAAATTAGGGTATTTTATTTCATTACTTTCACTCCTCTATGTAATAATATCTATAGTGAGGACATGGTGTCCCTACCTCAAGTAGAGACTAACCCCCCAGAACAGAAAAGGCTTATGGGAAGAATTTCCCATTCACTTTGCTTACTTTGCATTGATTGCATACAAAAGTTGATATAAAGACAGTAGTGCTGCAGAATGGACCCCAGGATGAGTAACTGCTGCTTCAGCAACAGCTAATGGAGATCCTAATACAATGCTAAATACTAGAATCAGAATATACTCTTAGAATGGCATCATCTCTACATTTGACCAAACTCATAACCATCATATATTCTTGTGAATTCAAGGTGTTGTTTGACCAGGGCCCATAATTATTCAAAATGTCTCAGAGTAAGAGTGCTTATCTAGGATCAATTTTGCCTTTTAGGTCGCAATGAATAAGATTTACATGGACAGGGAGACCTGATCCTGGATCAGCACTCCTAGTCTGAGACGCTTAATGAACAGGAGCCCCGGAACACTCGGGGGTCCATTAGAGGTCTGAACCTTTTAATGAGGTCACTAGGTGTTGCACTAAAGTCGCTACAATATAATGACTCTCGACCCCCCCCCCCCCCCCCCCCCCCCCCCCCGCAGCCGCCTTCACCATGATCGGCACGTCCACGCAACTCTCGGACCAGTGCTCCAAGTTCGCCATCCCCTCCTTCTGCCACTACGTGTTCCCGCTGTGCGATGAGGGGTCGCGCGGCCCGCGGCGCCGCCAGCTGTGCCGGGACGAGTGCGAGGCGCTGGAGAACGAGCTGTGCCACACGGAGTACACCATCGCCCGCTCCAACCCGCTCATCCTCATGCAGCTGGAGCTGCCCAGCTGCCACCTACTGCCCCACCCGGGCTCGCCCGACGCTGCCAGCTGCATGAGGATCGGGGTGCCCCTGGACAAGCTGGGCACATGTAAGTGGACAATAGACATAGACGCACAGACATGAACACACAAGACAGGGACACACAAGACAGGGACACACAAGACAGGGACACACAAGACAGGGACACACAAGACAGGGACACACAAGACATGGACATGTAGGTGGACACCTGAACACAAACATGCAGGCAGAAGTGGACAGACGGACAGACGGACAGACAGACGGACACAGGCTGTAGCCTATATTTTGTATTATGCATATTTTTGGATGACATTTCATTACATCATAAGGTCAAGGAACTATGGTTGTTTGTGTTGTGTATCTAGGGGGCCCTCTTGTGGCATTTCTGGAGATTGGTATTTTGGTACATTTATGCAGGGGGAACTACATTTGAAGAAACGTTCAACTTTCTTCTTGTTATCTTCCTTATTTCATTTCCTGGCAGTTATAATTCAAACATTGTAAAAACATAGTTGAAGTCACCCAAAACTAACTTTCAATCTTCGTGAAAGATTCGCCAACAGATCACAGCTGCTACAACGGCAGCGGAGCCAACTACAAGGGCACGGTGAGCGTCTCTGAGTCGGGCTACCCCTGCCAGCCATGGAGTGCCCAGTACCCACACAGCCACCACCTGTCACCCGTGGAGTACCCTGAGCTGCGAGGAGGCCACAACTTCTGCCGTAACCCCGGGGGCCAGATGGAGGGTCCATGGTGTTTCACCCTGGACCAGCAGGTCAGAGTGGACCTGTGCGACGTCCGCCCCTGCAGTGAGTACTGAAGCCCAGAGTTATTTTATGGCTGGCCGCTGATTTGCATGGAAATTACATCCTGGGCTACAGCACTACAAAGACTCATTTACTAAACTTAGTAAGAGCTGAGCATGTCTTTTTAGCATTTTGTCACCGATTTGGCACATTTCCCCCCCCCCCTTCACATAAAAGGTGTGAGATCTGAGAGTCACAGTCTGGTGGAAAATGTGTAACAAAAGGGAATGTGTTTGTTTGTGTTGCCAGTGGTACCATATGTGCATAATGATACCGTTTAATTTTACTACATGCCATTCCATTCCTCTTACAAGAGTACACTTGGACTTTTTCTACATTGGATTATATGTACACACATTATAGGCCAGTTTCCCGGACCCAGATAAAGCCTTTAATGGACTAAAATGTAGACTCAATGGAGAAAATGTTATTCAGTCCAGGAATAGGCTCAATCTGAATCGGGAAAACCAGCATTAAATCAATAAAAACACTAAAGTAGATAACTCATCAAGGCCCAGTTAAAGGTAGAGTCAGTGATACACGAAGTAAACCGCAATATCGGGTCAATTACCAAACAACTAAGTGCGAGGGTAAACTTCTCAGCTGTTTTGGTCCCATAGCTACCACATAGCAGTGTGAAATGCACCTGTGCACGTGTGTGAGAGCAAAGTCTTGCAACGTGCTCATCTAAATATGTGCGGTGCTGCTCGCGGCGACGTTATACTGCTGAGTCTCAGTTTAAGGCTGACTAACAACATACCCTGTTTGACCTTTGACCTCCAGCACCGCCAGAGAACCTGAAGAAGGAGATCCTGTACATCCTGATCCCCAGCATCGCCATCCCGCTGGTCATCGCCTGCCTTTTCTTCCTTGTCTGCATGTGCCGCAACAAGCAGAAGGAGCCCACTGACACGCCCCCTCGCCGTCAGCTTACTGCCTCGCCCAGCCAGGACATGGAGCTGCCACTGCTCAATCAGCACAAGCACCAGGTGGGCTAGCTACCGTCATATGGGCTAAATACTGTAATGTATGCTAGCTAGTGTCATATGGGCTAGCTAGTGTCATATGGGCTAGCTAGTGTCATATGGGCTAAATACTGTAATGTATGCTAACTAGTGTCATATGGGCTAGCTAGTGTCATATGGGCTAAATACTGTAATGTATGCTAACTAGTGTCATATGGGCTAGCTAGTGTCATATGGGCTAGCTACCGTCATATGGGTTAAATATTGTAATGTATGCTAGCTAGTGTCATATGGGCTAGCTAGTGTCATATGGGCTAGCTACCGTCATATGGGCTAAATACTGTAATGTATGCTAGCTAGTGTCATATGGGCTAGCTAGTGTCATATGGGCTAGCTAGTGTCATATGGGTTAAATACTGTAATGTATGCTAGCTAGTGTCATATGGGCTAGCTAGTGTCATATGGGCTAGCTAGTGTCATATGGGTTAAATACTGTAATGTATGCTAGCTAGTGTCATATGGGCTAGCTAGTGTCATATGGGCTAGCTACCGTCATATGGGTTAAATACTGAAATGTATGCTAGCTAGTGTCATATGGGCTAGCTAGTGTCATATGGGCTAGCTAGTGTCATATGGGCTAGCTAGTGTCATATGGGCTAGCTTGTGTCATATGGGCTAGCTTGTGTCATATGGGTTAACTACTGTAATATGGGCTAACTACAGTCATATGGGTTAACTACTGTAATATGGGCTAACTACAGTCATATGGGGTAACTAGTGTCATATGGGCTAACTGCTGTCATGGGCTAACTGCTGTCATATGGGCTAACTGCTGTCATATGGGCTAACTGCTGTCATATGGGGGTAACTAGTGTAATATGGAGGTAACTGCTGTCATATGGGGTAACTAGTGTCATATGGGGGTTAACTAGTGTCATATGGGGGTTAACTAGGGGGTTAACTAGTGTCATATGGGGGTTAACTAGTGTAATATGGGGTTAACTAGGGGGTTAACTAGTGTCATATGGGGTTAACTAGTGTCATATGGGGGTTAACTAGTGTCATATGGGGTTAACTAGTGTCATATGGGGTTAACTAGTGTCATATGGGGGTTAACTAGGGGGTTAACTAGTGTCATATGGGGTTAACTAGGGGGTTAACTAGTGTCATATGGGGGTTAACTAGTGTCATATGGGCTAGCTGCTGTCATACAATGCCTTGCAAATGTATTCATCTCCCTTGGCGTTTTGTCCTATTTTGTTGCATTACAACCTGTCATTTAAATTGATTTTTATTTGGATTTCATGTAATGGACATACACAAAATAGTCCAAATTGGTGAAGTGAAATGAAAAAAATAACTTGTTTCAAAAATTTAAAAAAATAAAATTACGGAAAAGTGGTGCGTGCATATGTATTCACCCCCTTTGCTATGAAGCCCCTAAATAAGATCTGGTGCAACCAATTACCTTCAGAAGTCACATAATTAGTTAAGTAAAGTCCACCTGTGTGCAATCTAAGTGTCACATGATCTGTCACATGATCTCAGTATATATACACCTGTTCTGAAAGGCCCCAGAGTCTGCAACACCACTAAGCAAGGGGCATCACCAAGCAAGCGGCACCATGAAGACCAAGGAGCTCTCCAAACAGGTCAGGGACAAAGTTGTGGAGAAGTACAGATCAGGGTTGGGTTATAAAAATATATATCCGAAACTTTAAACATCCCACAGAGCACCATTACACCACAACAAAGCTGCCAAGAGAGGGCCGCCCACCAAAACTCACAGACCAGGCAAGGAGGGCATTAATCAGAGAGGCAACAAAGAGACCAAAGATAACCCTGAAGGAGCTGCAAAGATCCACAGCGGAGATTGGAGTATCTGTCCATAGGACCACTTTAAGCTGTACACTCCACAGAGCTGGGCTTTATGGAAGAGTGGCCAGAAAAAAAAGCCATTGCTTAAAGAAAAAAATAAGCAAATACGTTTGGTGTTCGCCAAAAAGGCATGTGGGAGACTCCCCAAACATATGGAAGAAGGTACTCTGGTCAGATGAGACAAAAATTTAGCTTTTTGGCCATCAAGGAAAATGCTATGTCTGGCGCAAACCCAACAACTCTCATCACCCCGAGAACACCATCCCTACAGTGAAGCATGGTGGTGGCAGCATCACGCTGTGGGTATGTTTTTCATCGGCAGGGACTGGGAAACTGGTCAGAATTGAAGGAATGATGGATGATGCTAAATACAGGGATATTCTTGAGGGAAACCTGTTTCAGTCTTCCAGAGATTTGAGACTGACACAGAGGTTCACTATCCAGCAGGACAATGACCCTAAGCATACTGCTAAAGCAACACTTGAGTGGTTTAAGGGGAAACATTTAAATGTCTTGGAATGGCCTAGTCAAAGCCCAGACCTCAATCCAATTGATAATCTGTGGTATGACTTAAAGATTGCTGTACACCAGCGGAACCCATCCAACTTGAAGGAGCTGGAGCAGTTTTGCCTTGAAGAATGGGCAAAAATCCCAGTGGCTAGATGTGCCAAGCTTATAGAGACATACTCCAAGAGACTTGCAGCTGTAATTGCTGCAAAAAGTGGCTCTACAAAGTATTGACTTTGGGGAGGTGAATAGTTATGCACGCTCAAGTTTTCAGTTTTTTAATCTTATTTCTTGTTTGTTTCACAAGGAAAAATATTTAGCATCTTCAAAGTGGTAGGCATGTGTAAATCAAATGATACAAACCCCCAAAAAATCTATTTCAATTCCAGGTTGTAAGGCAACAAAATAGGACAAATGCCAAGGGGGGTGAATACTTTCGCAAGCCACTGTATTGGCTAGCTACTGTCATATGTGGTAATGAAACATCAGCATGAATCATTGTCTGTTTTATTAACTCTGATTCTCTCTGTTTTCTCCTTGTGACCCAGGCGAAGCTGCGGGAGATCAACCTCTCGGCGGTGCGCTTCATGGAGGAGCTGGGTGAGGACCGCTTCGGCAAGGTCTACAAGGGCCACCTGTACGGCACGGCACCCGGCGAGCAGACCCAGGTGGTGGCCATCAAGACGGTCAAGGACAAGGATGAGGGCACCCTCCGCGAGGAGTTCCGCCACGAGGCCATGCTGCGCTCGCGCCTCCAGCACCCCAACATCGTTTGCCTGCTGGGCGTGGTGACCAAGGAGCAGCCCATCAGCATGATCTTCAGCTACTCTGGCCTGGGCGACCTGCACGAGTTTCTGGTCATGCGCTCGCCGCACTCGGACGTGGGCAGCTCAGACGACGACAAGACGGTGAAGTCCACGCTGGAGCAGGCCGACTTCCTGCACGTGGTGACACAGGTGGCCGCCGGCATGGAGTATCTTTCCAGCCACCACGTGGTACACAAGGACCTGGCCGCCCGCAACATCTTAGTCTGCGACAAGCTCAACGTCAAGATCCTGGACCTGGGCCTCTTCCGGGAGGTCTACTCAGCCGACTATTACAAGCTGATGGGCGCCAGCCCCTTCCCCATCCGCTGGATGTCCCCGGAGGCCATCATGTACGGCAAGTTTTCTACCGACTCGGACATCTGGTCCTACGGTGTGGTGCTGTGGGAGATCTTCAGCTACGGTCTGCAGCCCTACTGCGGCTACTCCAACCAGGATGTCATCGAGATGGTGCGGAACCGTCAGGTGCTGGCCTGTCCCGACGACTGCCCCGCCTGGATCTATACGCTCATGCTAGAGTGCTGGAGCGAGTTCCCGGCACGCCGCCCACGCTTTAAGGACGTCCACACGCGCCTGCGCACCTGGGAGAGCCTGTCCAACTACAACAGTTCGGCTCAGACCTCCGGCACCAGCAACACCACCCAGACCAGCTCCCTGAGCACCAGCCCCATCAGCAACATCAGCATGAGTGCAACCAACGCCGCGCGCTATGCCAGCCCCAAGAAGAACTCGCCCTTCCCCCAGCCCCAGTTCATGCCCATGAAGGGCCAGATGCACCGGCCCATGCTGCAGCAGCACCCGCAGCAGCTCTACATCCCGGTCAACGGCTACCAGCCCATGCCGGCGTACCCATACCTGCAGAACTTCTACCCCATGCAGATGTCAATGCACCAGATGGCGCACCAGCAGATGGCGCACCACCCGCCGCAGATGGTGGCCAAGGCGGGATCGCACCACAGTGGCAGCGGCTCCACCTCCACGGGCTACGTCACCACGGCGCCCTCCAACACCTCGGGTACGGAGCGGGCAGCCTTGCTCAGCGATAGCCCCAAGGCAAACATGGAGGACATGGCGGACGGTGCGTCACAGAACGGGCTGGGGCATGGGGAGGACACGACAGTCCCCGAAACGGAATTACTGGGTGACAATGACCTGCCACAGACTGACGACATGGAGATTCACTCTGAGGCATAGGGGGACCGAAAGTCTGGAGGACTGGGGAACAAACTAGAGCTGAAACGCTCTGTGAACTTAGTTTGTTTGAGTTCAATTGAGCGTCATGAATAAGTGAAGGGAACGCATTGGAAAAACAGTGACTGAATGTTATTTATGGGTTGTTTAGCTGTCACGGGTGCATCCGAATGCTATCAGTGTCTCAGGTTCTTCCCTGCAGGACCCCTTTAGCGAAGTGTCATGAAACTAACCCTGAACCCTGAAAGCCGCTCGACAGAAAACGTCAATGAAGAGAACCGTTTTCACCATTTGGGCTGTGGGTGCGACCGGCATGGACAGTGTTTTCACTTAGTTGCAAAGCCATTCAGAAGAATGTACATTCTTACTGTTTCTGTGCAACATGAAGTCTTTTCTTTTCGACAAGGATTCCTGAAGTTGCCTTGTGTTAATGTTTCAAACTTTTAAATTGTATAGTAGTAGGCCTACTCCAGACACGATTTTATACTGTGGTTTTACGTGAGATAGGAGTGTGTCAATTTGGCAGAATGTATGATGAATGGACAGAAAATTAATTGGAGCTTACAGGGCAATTCCACCACTTTTCAACCTCATTTTCATTGTCTTCATATGTAAAAATGGCACATTTTTACGTTTTGTAGAAATAAATAGGAGGTTAAAAAGTTCTACCTGATGACATCATCAAAAGTTAAAACATAAAAATTTTTTTAAAAAAGTGATTTTTTTAGAAACTCATTGCCGATTTTGAAAATCACTGTCTTACTTTTAATTAAAAAATCTGACTTTTAATCCTACAATGTGATGTCACAGAGAAGCATTTTTTAGGACCTTATCTCTTTAACCGCAGATCATAGAGAAGCACTGTTTTCACATACAGTATGTAGACACCGGTATGGTGCTGGAGATAATGAATATGAGGTTGAAACGTAGCGTATGAGGTTGGAATTGCCTTTTTACACCTTCCTTAGAAACAGTATTTGGATAAAACTTTATCAAATAGTTTGTATACTCAGTAGATTGAAATTGCTCACTGTCACTGAACATGGATGTGTCACTACTCAACATACATCTTCATGTGATAAGACAAGAAAGAACTGTACATGATAAGTATATTAGCGTGGGAATTGTTGATGTTTAGCCTTATTCCGTATGACTGCCTTATGCTCATATTCTCCTTTGTATGGACTTGTATGTTAGACATTGCTCAACTTCAACTTTGATACCCTGTTTTACAGATTTGTAATTTATGTAATTATAATTTTTTTAACACAATTTTTGTTTTATCATGCCTTGTTGGCAAAGAGTGTTTAGTCTGAGGTTAATACTTAAATGTCATTGCAACCAGATATTTGCTTTTTTTCCCCAAAGGTGTAATAACAAATGTAAACCATATATTGTATACATCCAGCCACATGGAGTGCCCAATAAAGTGATACATTATAAAGACATCAGCCTTGTTCCTCTCTTTATTAAAGCCCACCGCAGTACAATAAGTACCCCTACATGGGGCGGCAGGTAGCTTAGTGGGTAAGAGTGTTGTGCCAGTAACCGAAAGGTCGCTGGTTCTAATCCCCTAGCCGACTAGGTGAAAAATCTGTCGATGTGCCCTTGAGCAAGGCACTTAACCCTAATTGCTCCTGTAAGTCGCTCTGGATAAGAGCGTCTGCTAAAATGACTAAAAAAATTTAAAAAATGTTTAGTTACATAGTAATCTTAGTTAACCAGAACTAAAATATTGTGTCATTTGGTCAGATGCTGTCCACCCAGAGAATGATTAGTTACATAGGTAGGCACATTGAATTAGGTAAACATTGTTACATATAGGCTTCTCCTGCTCTATAGACAGGGACAACTAAGAAAGCGAGTGAGAGACACACACGCAGACACAGAAACAAAGAGAGACAGAATTCACAAAGAGTGACGATATAGGCTATTTGTCCAGTGTAGGCTGACAAATCTACCCGCTCACGTTTGTTGCCTATGTTTTAGGCCTAGTGCTTGTTTGATTCATTATAAACCTTGCTTCATTTGACAGCATTATTTAAAAGCAGCATTATTTGAAAGGATTTGAGGGATTTTTTAGGAGTTTGTGTAAACAGGGAAGCGTGACAGTGGGCCGTGCCCTTGAGATTGCTGATATGAGGGACACCAAGCTTTTACCTTCAACACCTGTTTGGCAGAGCCATAGTTCAATTGGTCATTGTGAGGTTTGTACCAAAAGCATTATGATGCATATTCATGACATCACATAGTTCTATGGAAGCCGATATATAGAGCATTATGGGTAATGTAGTCATTCTACAGTTTCCTAATTAGCCTAATTAAATAGCATGCATTGTGACATCAGGGTTGATTTGGGTTACAGACATGCCAAAAACAAAAAACCTGAAAAATAAACACAAATACCAAACATTAAGTGGCCTGTGGCATGTTCTCCTGAGCCTAAAATGAAGAAAATCTGTATACAATTGTAGGAGCAGACCCCGCTGCAAGTTTGTGGTATTACAATATAGATGTACACTTGATCCTCCAAAATCCTATGCTGCATCCAAAATGGTACCCTATTCTTTTGACCAGGGCAGTTGAGGACACTGTTAACCAGACCAAACTAGCTGTAACACTGCAGAGCTGTTGACAAACACAGGTAATGATTGACTATCACACACCTGCACAGGCTGTGTGTGTGTGTGTGTGTGTGTGTGTGTGGGTTCCTTGCACCTGCATATGTGTGTGTGCATATAAGGGTGAGAGATATTCAAAGACCCCCCCCCTCCTTTTCCATAAGAAAGGTGTGTTTGTGATATGAAAATGCAAGTCTTTGTTGTTCCTCTGCTACTGCTCGGTCTGTCTGGGGTAGAGATCACGAGAGGTTAAAGTGTACAGTTCACTAAAGGTAAAGGTGTAGAGTTCGAGACAGGAAATGAGATCAAAACGTCAGCAGACAGACAGACATCCGCCGAGCCGGACATCTGGGCTGAGATGAGAGCTCTGAGAAACATGGTTGTGGAGCTGGGGAACATGGTGGCGGAGCAGAAAGTGGAGCTGGGGAACATGGTGGCGGAGCAGAAAGTGGAGCTGGGGAACATGGTGGCGGAGCAGGAAGTAGAGCTGGGGAACATGTTGGCGGAGCAGGAAGTAGAGCTGGGGAACATGGTGGCGGAGCAGAAAGTGGAGCTGGGGAACATGGTGGCGGAGCAGAAAGTGGAGCTGGGGGACATGGTGGCGGAGCAGGAAGTGGAGCTCGGGAAACATGGTGGCGGAGCAGAAAGTAGAGCTGGGGAACATGGCGGCGGAGCAGAAAGTGGAGCTGGGGAACATGGTGGCGGAGCAGGAAGTAGAGCTGGGGAACATGGTGGCGGAGCAGGAAGTGGAGCTGGGGAACATGGTAGCAGAGCAGAAAGTAAATAAGAGGGAGAGAGCCATCGGGAGAGGTTGTGTTTTTCTCTAGCAGGAGGTAAGCTTCTCAAATGGTGTTGAGTAAAGCTTAAACCATGTATTAGATCGTAGGTAGGTAGTTAGTTGTAGTTAGGTATTGTAGTTATTGTAGGTTAGTATTGTTGTTATTGTAGGTTTCCGTAGGTAATTATTGTAGGTTAGTATCGAAGCACGAGGCTAGCTAGCTAGCGGGTAGCTACTGGTAACGTTTAGCAACGGTGGAGAGCTGTTTCCAATGTTAATGTGCTGCTAGCCAACGTTTAATTTTTGCTGCGTTATGCGTTATGAAAGGAACTAGACACGGACATGAATTATCTGTTTAGTGTGTTAACACACTCTTGGCAGTTTGTTGTAACCAAGTATTGGTGCTAAACTGTGTGTTAATGGATGCTAGCATGCTAGTTAGCTATGGCGTCATAGCTAGGCATCGTGGGTTGTTGTGGGTAGTTACTGTAGGTTGGCAGTGTCTTCGGCCGTGCCGGCTGTAGCACGAAGCGAGCTAACTAGCCGTTTTTTCGAACAGAGTCAGAGTCAACACAGTAGCCATTGTGTGCCGGGTGTAGCACGAAGCTAGCTAGCTAGCCGTTCTCCAAACAAAGTCAACACAGTGGCCATTGCTAGCTACCCAACACGACCAGCTAACTGTACTGTAGTAGCTAAATACAATATACTTGTCCTAGCTAGCCAACGTTTAATCATTGCTGCGTCATGAAAGGAACTTGACACAGACACGAATGATCTGTTTAGTGTGTTAACTCACTATTGGTGGTTTGTTGTGACCAAGTGTTGGTGCTAAACTGTGTGTTACTGGATGCTAGCATGCTAGTTAGCTAGTTAACACACTATTGGTGGTTTGTTGTGACCAAGTGTTGGTGCTAAACTGTGTGTTATTGTTATTGGATGCTATCATGCTAGTTAGCTATGGTGTCATAGTTAGCTAGCTGAATAAAGTGGGTTGAGTCTATTCCTTTAAACATTGAACCGCTGTGGTTCACAACAATTCTGATTTCTAAAGGTGGAAGTTGGGAGAGTTTTTGTTCGGGTGGTTCAGTGAAACAATTTTAGTTTCTGAGGTAGAAGTTTTTGGTGAGGGAGGCCCTGCTCTCTCCTCTCCCAGATGCTTAGCTCATTTCATTCCGATCTCCTCTGCATTTTTGTAGCCATTTGCTACAGCCTGTCAACTATGCCTCTGCCTATCCCTGTTCTCTCCTCTCTACACAGGCTACACAAACGCACCACACCGCGCGGCTGCTGCCTCTCTAACCTGGTGGTCCCTGCACGCACCCCACACCTGGAGTTCCAGGTCTCAGGCAGCCTCTGGAACTGCCGTTCTGCTGCCAACAAAGCTGACTTCATCCCAGCCTATGCCAACCTCCAGTCCCTCGACTTCCTGGCGCTGACGGAAACATGGATTACCACTGAAAACACTGCTACTCCTACTGCTCTCTCCTCGTCTGACCATGTGTTCTCGCATACCCCGAGAGCATCTGGTCAGAGGGGTGGTGGTACAGGAATCCTCATCTCTCCCAAGTGGACATTCTCAATTGTTCCCCTAACCCATCTGTCTATCTCCTCATTTGAATTCCATGCTGTCACAGTCACTAGCCCATTTAAGCTTAATATCCTTGTCATCTATCGCCCTCCAGGTTCCCTTGGAGAGTTCATCAATGAGCTTGACGCCTTGATAAGTTCCTTTCCTGAGGATGGCTCACCCCTCACAGTTTTGGGGGATTTCAACCTCCCTATGTCCACATTTGACTCATTTCTCTCTGCCTCCTTCTTTCCACTCCTCTCCTCTTTTGACCTCACCCTCTCACCGTCCCCCCCTACTCACAAGGCAGGCAATACGCTTGACCTCATCTTCACTAGATGCTGCTCCTCTACTAATCTCACTGCAACTCCCCTCCATGTCTCCGACCACTACTTTGTTTCCTTTTCTCTCTCGCTCTCCTCCCACACTACTCACTCTGCCCCTACACAGATGGTAATGCGCCGCCGCAACCTTCGCTCTCTCTCTCCCACTACTCTCTCCTCTTCCATCCTATCATCTCTTCCCTCTGCTCAATCCTTCTCCCTCCAATCTCCTGATTCTGCCTCCTCAACCCCTCCTCTCCTCCCTTTCTGCATCCTTTGACTCTCTGTGTCCCCTATCCTCCCGGCCGGCTCGGTCCTCCCCTCCAGCTCCGTGGCTTGATGACTCATTGCGAGCTCACAGAACAGAGCTCCGGGCAGCGGAGCGGAAATGGAAGAAAACTAAACTCCCTGCCGACCTGGCATCTTTTCACTCCCTCCTCTCTACATTTTCTTCATCTGTTTCTGCCCCCCCCCCCCCCTCCTCTCTCTCTGTGGATGACTTCGTCAACCACTTTGAAAAGAAGGTTGACGACATCCGATCCTCGTTTGTTAAGTCTAATGACACTGCTGGTCCTGCTCACACTGCCCTACCCTATGCTTTGACTTCTTTCTCCCCTCTCTCTCCAGATAAAATCCTGCGACTTGTGACTGCAGGCCGCCCAACAACCTGCCCGCTTGACCCCATCCCCTCCTCTCTTCTCCAGACCATCTCCGGTGACCTTCTCCCCTACCTCACCTCGCTGATCAACTCATCCTTGACCGCTGGCCATGTCCCTTCCGTCTTCAAGAGAGCGAGAGTTGCTCCCCTTCTCAAAAAACCAACACTCGACCCCACTGATGTCAACAACTACAGACCAGTATCCCTTCTTTCTTTTCTTTCCAAAACTATTGAGCGTGCCGTCTTTAGCCAACTCTCTTGCTATCTCTCTCAGAATGACCTTCTTGATCCAAACCAATCAGGTTTCAGGACTGGTCATTCAACTGAGACTGCTCTTCTCTGTGTCACGGAGGCTCTCCGCACTGCTAAAGCTAACTCTCTCTCCTCTGCTCTTGTCCTTCTAGACCTGTCTGCTGCCTTTGATACTGTGAACCATCAGATCCTCCTCTCCACCCTCTCCGAGCTGGGCATCTCCGGCGCGGCTCACTCCTGGATTGCGTCCTACCTGACCGGTCGCTCCTACCAAGTGGCGTGGCGAGAAGCTGTCTCCGCACCACGTGCTCTCACCACTGGTGTCCCCCAGGGCTCAGTTCTAGGCCCTCTCCTTTTCTCCCTATACACCAAGTCACTTGGCTCTGTCATATCCTCACACGGCCTCTCCTATCATTGCTACGCTGACGATACACAACTAATCTTCTCCTTTCCCCCTTCTGATAACCAGGTGGCGAATCGCATCTCTGCATGTCTGGCAGACATATCAGTATGGATGACGGATCACCACCTCAAGCTGAACCCTGGCAAGACGGAGCTGCTCTTCCTCCCGGGGAAGGACTGCCCGTTCCATGATCTCGCCATCACGGTTGACAACTCCGTTGTGTCCTCCTCCCAGAGTGCGAAGAGCCTTGGCGTGACCCTGGACAACACCCTGTCGTTCTCCGCTAACATCAAGGCGGTGACCCGCTCCTGCAGGTTCATGCTCTACAACATTCGGAGAGTACGACCCTGCCTCACACAGGAAGCGGCACAGGTCCTAATCCAGGCACTTGTCATCTCCCGTCTGGATTACTGCAACTCGCTGTTGGCTGGCCTCCCTGCATGTGCCATTAAACCCCTACAACTCATCCAGAATGCCGCAGCCCGTCTGGTGTTCAACCTTCCCAAGTTCTCTCACGTCACCCCCCTCCTCCGCACACTCCACTGGCTTCCAGTTGAAGCTCGCATCCGTTACAAGACCATGGTGCTTGCCTTTGGAGCAGCGAGGGGAACGGCACCTCTGTACCTTCGGGCTCTGATCAGTCCCTACACCCAAACGAGGGCATTGCGTTCATCCACCTCTGGCCTGCTGGCTCCCCTTCCTCTGCGGAAGCATAGTTCCCGCTCAGCCCAGTCAAAACTGTTCGCTGCTCTGGCACCCCAATGGTGGAACAAGCTCCCTCACGACGCCAGGACAGCGGAGTCACTCACCACCTTCCGGAGACATTTGAAACCCCACCTCTTTAAGGAATACCTGGGATAGGATAAAGCAATCCTTCTACCCCCCCCCCCCCCCACACACACAGCGGAGTCGCTCACCACCTTCCGGAGACATTTGAAACCCCACCTCTTTAAGGAATACCTGGGATAGGATAAAGTAATCCTTCTACACCCCCCCCCCCCCCCCCCCCCAAAAAAAAAATTTGTAAAGTGGTTATCCCACTGGCTATAGGGTGAATGCATCAATTTGTGAGTCGCTCTGGACTAGAGCGTCTGCTAAATGACGGAAATGTGCCCTTGAGCAAGGCACTTAACCCTAATTGCTCCTGTAAGTCGCTCTGGATAAGAGCGTCTGCTAAATGACTTAAATGTAAATGTAAAATGTAACGTAGAGCTGGGGAACATGGTGGCGGAGCAGAAAGTAGAGCTGGGGAACATGGTGGCGGAGCAGGAAGTAGAGCTGGGGAACATGGTGGTGGAGCAGAAAGTAGAGCTGGGGAACATGGTGGCAGAGCAGAAAGTGGAGCTGGGGAACATGGTGGTGGAGCAGAAAGTGGAGCTGGGGAACATGGTGGCAGAGCAGGAAGTAGAACTGGGGACATGGTGGTGGAGCAGAAAGTGGAGCTGGGGAACATGGTGGCGGAGCAGAAAGTAGAGCTGGGGAACATGGTGGCGGAGCAGGAAGTAGAGCTGGGGAACATGGTGGTGGAGCAGAAAGTAGATCTGGGGAACATGGTGGTGGAGCAGAAAGTAGAGCTGGGGAACATGGTGGCAGAGCAGAAAGTGGAGCTGGGGAACATGGTGGTGGAGCAGAAAGTGGAGCTGGGGAACATGGTGGCAGAGCAGGAAGTAGAACTGGGGACATGGTGGTGGAGCAGAAAGTGGAGCTGGCTTTCACTCAGAGTCTACTGGAGAACATGAAGACACAGAATTCATGTAACGAGTCACCCCAATACAGCATATTGAATATAGAAGACACCCGGAGTAAATGCTCTGAACTGCAATTAGATAGAAAACACAAGACCATATTAATACCAGGTATAAATGGGCTCAATAAGAGTTATTTTTATTGTATATTTTTATTAGCTTGTTTTGTTTGGGGTGGGGGTTACAGGTACAATACTCATGTCAATTTAAACCGTTAATACCACAGGTACCCGTCGGCTGCCACTCCAAAACAAAAATAAAAAATAAATACATACAGAGAAATGATCATTTTGATCACACAGGATTTTCTAATAATACAATTGGTACAAAAAGAGATGTGCCTCCACCCCCAACTACCCATCCCATCCCATTCCCCCCTAACTCCCCATCCCATTCCCCCCTAACTCCCCATCCCATCACCCCCAACTCCCCATCCCATCACCCCCAACTCCCCATCCCATTCACCCCTAATTCCCCATCCCATTCACCCCTAATTCCCCATCCCATTCCCCCCTAACTCCCCATCCCATTCCCCCCTAACTCCCCATCCCATCACCCCCAACTCGCCCAATCACCCCTAACTCCCCACCCATCACCCCCAACTCCCCATCCCATTCCCCCCAACTCCCCATCCCATGCACACCCAACCCCCATCCCATTCACCCAACCCCCATCACCCCCAACTGCCATCCCCCCAATTCCCCATCCCATCACCCCCCAACTCCCCATCACCCCAACCCCAACAACATCACCACACCAACCAAACACCATCACCCCCAACTCCCATCCATCACCCCAACACCCCATCAACCCCCAACTCCCCACCCACACCCCCAACACCCCATCACCCCCAACCCCCATCCCAGTCCCCCCAACTCCCCATCCCACACCCCAACCCCCATCCCATCACCCCCAACCCCATCCCATTCACCCCTAATTCCCCATCCCATTACCCCCAACTCCCCATCCCATCACCCCCAACTCCCCATCCCATTCCCCCCGAACTCCCCATCCCATTCCACCCTAACTCCCCATCACCCCCAAACTCTCCATCCCATCACCCCAACTCCCCATCCCATCCCATCACCCCCAACTCCCCATCACCCCAACTCCCCATCCCATCACCCCCAGCCCAACATCACCCCCAACTCCCCATCCAATTCCCCCCTAACTCCCCATCCCATTTCCCCCCAACTCCCCATCCCATCACCCCCAACTCCCCATCCCATTACCCCCCTAACTCCCCAACACACCATCACCCCCAACTCCCCATCCTATCCCATCACCCCCAACTCCCCATCCCATCACCCCAACTCCCCATCCCATCACCCCCAGCCCAACATCACCCCCAACTCCCCATCCCATCACCCCCAACTCCCCATCCCATCATCCCCCAACTCCCCATCCCATCACCCCCAACTCCCCATCCCATTACCCCCAACTCCCCATCCCATTATCCCACAACTCCCCATCCCATTATCCCCCAACTCCCCATCCCATTCCCCCCAGCCCAACATCACCCCAAACTCCCCATCCCATTCCCCCCAGCCCAACATCACCCCCAACTCCCCATCCCATTCCCCCCAGCCCAACATCCCTCCCCCCACCTGGAAACCATGTTTTCCAACCCTCCTAGCAACAGAGGTTGGTTGTCAGTCCCTAACCCCCATATCTCGATCTACCCGCCCACCTGCCCGGTAATCTGTATGTATCTTTCAAATCATGGAATTTTCTCAAACCATTACTGTCTATGATATATATCGGCAAGGGTACAGATAAGAGTCCAACAACAGATCCATCATTGTGATTGTTGTTCCAGACAAGGAGTTAAGGCTGAGAATGGAGGTAAACATGCACACACGCACACTCACCCACACACAAACACACACAAACACACACACTCACCCACACACAAACACACACACACACCATTATGTCACGTTTTAGTGCTCTACTCAGTCTGTATCGCTAAAGTTCAGCGTTACAGCGTATTGAAATGTAAAGTCAATGTTCCCGCCTGAGCAGAGACTGCATTCAAATAAAATAAAATACAATTTATTGGTCACATACACATGTTTAGCAGATGTTATTGCGTGTGTAGCGAAATGCTTGTGTTTCTAGCTCCAGCAGTGCAGTAGTATCTAACAATTCACAACAATACACACAAATCTAAAAGTAGAATAATGTAATTAAGAAATATATAAATATTAGGACGAGCAATGTCAGAGTGGCATAGACTGAAATACAGTAGAATAGAATAAAAATAATAATAATATGCCATTTAGCAGACGCTTTTATCCAAAGCGACTTACAGTCATGCGTGCATACATTTTTTTTGTGTATGGGTGGTCCCGGGGATCGAACCCACTACCTTGGCGTTACAAGCGCCGTGCTCTACCAGCTGAGCTACAGAGGACCACATATGAGATGAGTAAAGCAGTGCATAAACATTATTAAAGTGGCTAATGTTCCATTATTAAAGTGGCCAGTGATTCCAAGTCTATGTATATGGGGCAGCAGCCTCTAAGGTGCAGGGTTACGTAACCGGGTGGAAGCCGCCTAGTGATGCCTATTTAACAGTCTGATGGCCTTGAGATGGAAGCTGTTTTTCAGTCTCTCTGTCCCAGCTTTGATGCACATGTATTGACCTCGCCTTCTGGATGATAGCGAGGTGAACAGGCTGTGGCTCGGGTGGTTGTTGTTCTTGATGATCTTTTTGGCCTTCCTGTGACATCGGGTGCTGTAGGTGTCTTGGAGGGCGGGTAGTTTGCCCCCGGTGATGCGTTGGGCAGACCGCACCACCCTCTGGAGAGCCCTGCGGTTGCGGGCGGTGCAGTTGCCATACCAGGCGGTGATACAGCCCGACAGGATGCTCTCAATTGTGCATCTGTCGCTATTGCGCCTTCTTCACCACACTGTCTGTGTGGGTGGACCATTTCAGATTGTCAGTGATGTGTACGCGAGGAACTTGAAGCCTTCCACCTTCTCCACTGCGGTCCCGTCATTGTGGATAGGGGTGTGCTCCCCCTGCTGTTTCCTGAAGTCCACGATCAGCTCCTTTGTTTTGTTGACGTTGTGTGAGAGGTTATTTTCCTGGCACCACACTCCCAGGGCCCTCACCTCCTCCCTGTAGGCTGTCTCGTCACTGTTGGTAATCAGGCCTACTACTGTTGTGTCGTCTGCAAACTTGATGATTAAGTTGGAGGCGTGCGTGGCCACGCAGTCGTGGGTGAACAGGGAGTACAGGAGGGGGCTGAGCACGCACCCTTGTGGGGCCCCTGTGTTGAGGATCAGCGAAGTGGAGATGTTGTTTCCTACCTTTACCACCTGGGGGTGGCCCGTCAGGAAGTGCAGGACCCAGTTGCATCATCTGTGGATCTATTGGGGCGGTAAGCAAATTGAAGTGGGTCTACAGTGTCAGGTAAGGTAGAGGTGATATGATCCTTAACTAGCCTCTCAAAGCACTTCATGATGACAGAAGTGAGTGCTACGGGGCGATAGTCATTTAGTTCAGTTACCTTTGTTTTCTTGGGTACAGGAACAATGGTGGACATCTTGAAGCAAGTGGGGACAGCAGACTGAGATAGGGAGAGATTGAATATATCCGTAAACACTCTAGCCAGCTGGTCTGCGCATGCTCAGAGGACGTGGCTAGGGATGCCGTCTGGGCCGTCAGCCTTGCGAGGGTTAACACGCTTAAACGTCTTACTCTGCATATGTTGGCACAATCGGAAACTACCTTTACATTTACAGTTGAAGTCGGAAGTTTACATACACTTAGGTTGGAGTCATTAAAACTCGTTTTTCAACCACTCCACAAATGTCTTGTTAACAAACTATAGTTTTGGCAAGTCGGTTAGGACATCTACTTTGTGCATGACACAAGTAATTTTTCCAACAATTGTTTACAGACAGATTATTTAATTTATAATTCACTGTATCACAATTCCAGTGGGTCAGAAGTTTACAAACACTAAGTTTACTGTGCCTTTAAACAGCTTGGAAAATTCCAGAAAATTATGTCATGGCTTTAGATGCTTCTGATAGGCTAATTGACATCATTTGAGTCAATTGGAAGTGTACCTGTGGATGTATTTCAAGGCCTACCTTCAAACTCAATGCCTCTTTGCTTGACATCATGGGAAAATCTAAAGAAATCAGCCAAGACCTCAGAAAAAGAATTGTAGACCTCCACAAGTCTGGTTTATCCTTGGGAGCAATTTCCAAACGCCTGAAGGTACCACGCTCATCTGTACAAACAATAGTACGCAAGTATAAACACCATGGGACCACGCAGCCGTCATACTGCTCAGGAAGGAGACACGTTCTGTCTCCTAGAGATGAACGTACTTTGGTGTGAAAAGTGCAAATCAATTCCAGAACAACAGCAAAGGACCTTGTGAAGTTGCTGGAGGAAACAGGTGCAAAAGTATCTATAACCACAGTAAAACGAGTCCTATATCGACATAACCTGAAAGGCCGCTCAGCAAGGAAGAAGCCACTGCTCCAAAACAGCCATAAAAAAGCCAGACTATGGTTTGCAACTGCACATGGGGACAAAGATCTTACTTTTGGGAGAAATGTCCTCTGGTCTGATAAAACAAAAATAGAACTGTTTGGCCATAATGGAGGAAAAAGGGGGTGCTTGCAAGCCGAAGAACACCATCCCAACCGTGAAGCACGGGGGTGGCAGCATCATGCTGTTGGGGTGCTTTGCTGCAGGAGGGACTGGTGCACTTCACAAAATAGATGGCATCATGAGGAAGGAAAATTATGTGGATATATTGAAGCAACATCTCAAGACATCAGTCAGGAAGTTAAAGCTTGGTCGCAAATGGGTCTTCCAAATGGACAATGACCACAAGCATACTTCCAAAGTTGTGCCAAAATGGCTTAAGGACAACAAAGTCAAGGTATTGGAGTGGCCATCACAAAGCCCTGACCTCAATCCTATAGAACATTTGTGGGCAGAACTGAAAAAGTGTGTGCGAGCAAGGAGGCCTACAAACCTGACTCAGTTACATCAGCTCTGTCAGGAGGAATGGGCCAAAATTCACCCAACTTATTGTGGGAAGCTTGTGGAAGACTACCCGAAACGTTTGACCCAAGTTAAACAATTTAAAGGCAATGCTACCAAATACTAATTGAGTGTATGTAAACTTCTGACCCACTGGGAATGTGATTAAATAAACTATTAGTCTGACATTTCACATTCTTAAAATAAAGTGGTGATCCTAACTGACCTAAAACAGGGAATTTTTACTATGATTAAATGTCAGGAATTGTGAAAAAACTGAGTTTAAATGTATTTGGCTAAGGTGTATGTAAACTTCCGACTTCAACTGTATATCTCGCAATCTGTAACGTTTTAAGGATACAGATTGAATAGAGCCCTTGCTGTCATTACATTTCAGAAACACAGGCCAGGCTGACAGCCAGTGAGAGCCAGGTGGAAGAGCTGTAGAGAATGCAGGTGGAAGAGCTGTAGAGAATGCAGGTGGAAGAGCTGTAGAGAATGCAGGTGGAAGAGCTGTAGAGAATGCAGGTGGAAGAGCTGTAGAGAATGCAGGTGGAAGAGCGGTAGAGAATGCAGGTGGAAGAGCGGTAGAGAATGCAGGTGGAAGAGCTGTAGAGAATGCAGGTGGAAGAGCTGTAGAGAATGCAGGTGGAAGAGCTGTAGAGAATGCAGGTGGAAGAGCTGTAGAGAATGCAGGTGGAAGAGCTGTAGAGAATGCAGGTGGAAGAGCTGTAGAGAATGCAGGTGATGACACAGAAAACAAGATATTTGGGCTGTTTTTTGGTGAAATGGATAATCTACCAATATTTTGTAATTTGTTACTCTAACCATTGATCGATTGAACTCTCTGGTTCCAGCCCAAGCCCTGGAGCTGAGGCCTATTGATGTCCGCTCCAACCACACTGAGAGCCAGGTTGGAACTGCAGGAGACTGAGGTGGAGGAACTGAAGATGGAGAACACAGGTGAGACACAGATAGGCGTGCGTGCGTGTGTGTTTCCTCTTACAGAATGGAAGGTGGCATTCTCTGTTACTTTGGGGACTAGTGGTTACTATGGACCCTTCAATATACTTCCCTGGTCTACAAAAAACATCCTCACTAACATCGGCAAGCACTAGAACCCAACAAATGGTGAATTATAATGTATCCTTCACTGCAGTTGTATATTGTAAGCGTTGTGAGAGCGAGAAAGAGAGAGGGGTGAGGGGGGGAGAAACCCATATGTGTTCTGTCTTTTCCAGGTTTTTTTCACAGCACCAGTGAGAGTGTGAGAGATGGGGGTGTACTACTTCAGAATCATAATGTTTGGAATCCTGAAAATCTGTGGCATACATTGCAATCTTCGCACAAATGGCATTATAACCATGGAGGCAGGTACACTATCTCTGCGTGCATTGCAGATACACTATATATGCAAAAGTATGTGGACACCCCTTCAAATTAGTGAATTCTGCTACTTCAGCCACAACCCGTTGCTGACAGGTGTATAAAATCGACAAACATTGGCTGTAGAATGGCCTTACTGAAGAGCTCAGTGACTTTCAACGTGGCACCGTCATAGGATGCCACCTTTCCAACAAGTCAGTTCATCAAATTTCTGCCCTGCTAGAGCTGCCCCAGTCAACTGTAAGTGCTGTTTTTGTGAAGTGGAAATGTCTAGGCGCAACAACAGCTCAGCCGCGAAGTGGTAGGCAACACAAGCTCACACAGCGGGACCGCCGAGTGCTGAAGCGCGTAGCGCGTAAAAATGGTCTGTCCTCAGTTGCAACACTGAATACCGAGATCCAAACTGCCTCTGGAAGCCACGTCAGCACAAGAACTGTTCGTTGGGAGCTTCATTAAATGGGTTTCCATGGCCGAGCAGCCGCACACAAGCCTAAGATCACCATGCACAATGCCAAGTGTCGGCTGGAGTGGTGTAAAGCTCGCCCCCATTGGACTCTGGAACAGTGGAAACGCGTTCTCTGGAGTGATGAATCACACTTCACCATCTGGCAGTCCGACGGATGAATCTGGGTTTGGCGGATGCCAGGAGAATGCTACCTGCCTGAATGCATAGTGCCAACTGTAAAGTTTGGTGGGGGAGGAATAATGGTTTGGGGCTGTTTTTCATGGTTCGGGCTAGGCCCCTTAGTTCCAGTGAAGGGAAATCTTAACGCTACAACATACAATGACATTGTAGATGATCCTGTGCTTCCAACTTTGTGGCAACAGTTTGGGGAAGGCCCTTTCCTATTTCAGCACTGTATGACGGCATTGGTTTACTGAGCTCCGAGACAGGATTGTGTTGAGGCACAGATCTGGGGAAGGGTACCAAAAAATTTCTGTAGCATTGAAGGTCCCCAAGAACATAGTGGCCTCCATCATTCTTAAATGGAAGAAGTTTGGAACCACTAAGACTCTTCCTAGAGCTGGCCGCCCGGCCAAACTGAGCAATCGGGGGAGAAGGAGGTGACCAAGAACCCGATGGTCACTCTGACAGAGCTCCAGAGTTCCTCTGTGGAGATGGGAGAACCTTCCAGAAGGACAACCTTCTCTGCAGCACTCCACCAATCAGGCCTTTATGGTAGATTGGCCAGACAAAAGCCACTCCTCAGTGAAAGGCACATGACAGCCCACTTGGAGTTTGCCAAAAGGCACCTAAAGGACAAAGATTATCTGGTCTGATGAAACCAAGATTCAACTCTTTGGCCTGAATGCCAAGTGTCACATCTGGAGAAACCTGGCACCATCCCCACAGTGAAGCATGGTGGTGGCAGCATCATGCTGTGGGGATGTATTTCAGCAGCAGGGACTGGGAGACTAGTCAGGATCGAGGGAAAGATGAACGGAGCACAGTACAGAGAGATCCTTGATGAAAACCTGCTCCAGAGTGCTCAGGACCTCAGAGTGGGGTGAAGGTTCACCTTCCAACAGGACAATGACCCTAAGCACACAGCCAAGACAACGCAGGAGTGGCTTCGGGACAAGTCTCTGAATGACCTTGAGTGGCCCAGCCAGACCCCGGACTTGAATCTCTGGAGAGACCTGAAAATAGCTGTGCAGCGACGCTCCCCATCCAACCTGACAGAGCTTGAGAGGATCTGCAGAGAATAATGGGAGAAACTCCCCATATACAGGTGTGCCGAGCTTGTAGTGTCATACCCAAGAAGACTCAAGGCTGTAATTGCTGCCAAAGGTGCTTCAACAAAGTCCGGAGTAAAGGGTCTGAATACTTATGTAAATGTAATATTTCCGTGTTTATTTTTAAAAAATATATATTTGCAAACATTTATAAAAAACTGTTTTTGCTTTGTCATTATGGGGTATTGTGTGTAGCTTGATGAGGGGGGAAAACAATTCAATCCATTTTAGAATAAGGCTGTAACGTAACAAAATTGAAAAAGTCAAGGGGTCTGAATACTTTCCGAATGCACTTGAAGTTCAACTGATCAGAGTAAACCTGAAAATAAAAGTCAAACAAAACTATTTCTTTTTTTCATCATTCCACGTAAGTGTAACTGAATATGTATAATTCAATCAATACAGTGCCCTCCATAAATATTGGGACAGTGAAGCATTTTTTCTTCAAAAGTTTGGATTTGAAATCAAACAATTACTATGAGGTTAAAGTGCAGACTGTGAGCTTTAATTTGAGGGTATTTTCATCCATTTCGGGTGAACCGTTTAGAAATTACAGCACTTTTTTGGTACACAGTCCCCCCATTTTAGGGGACCATAAGTATTGGGACAAATGTACTTATATGTGTATTAAAGTAGTAAAACGTTAAGTATTTGGTCCCATTTTCATAGCCCGCAATGACTACATCAAACGGTTCATTCGATATGGATGAAAATACCTTCAAATTAATGCTCACAGTCTGATCTTTAACCTCGTTGTCATTGTTTGATTTCATATCCAAACTTCTGGAGTATAGAGCCAAACGAAGATAAAATGCTCCACTGTCCCAATAATTACGGAGGGTACTGTATATCTATCTTTTAATTATTATATCTATCCACTTCATCCCCTGAAGAAGAGAGATGTAATTAATGTAAATGATTTGCTGATATTTTTCCATGAAAAAAGCAAAGGGGAGAATGAACCTTTTACATAACCTTAACCATCAAAAGCAAAAATATATAAATGCATTACAATGAACAGGAAATAGTATTAAATTAGGAAAATCTGAAACGATCATAATATCTGCAGTGAACATACACGTTGAGTGGTTTTGATATCTCTCCCTTGCTGGCATCCCATTTCTAAGTGTTTGAAATGAAAAACAAAATGGCACTTGATTCGGATAAAAACGTAAAGCGCTGTAAAATGCTGCATTGTGATTAACAAAAGTAAACGAGCTGCCCGATGCTGGGCTGGCGCGTAAAAACATAACAGACACACAGCTTCACTCGATTTATCCTTGTGGTTTTGCAAAGTGTAGGCGTGCCTCACTGATCCAACTGACATGACAGCATCCTTGAACGTCCCTCTGAATTCACTTAAAAGGCATGCACATGGGATGGACCTCGAAGTTGTGGCCTACAGAATGGAAGTTGCCCGTGCACAGAAAAAGGGTGGATTTACGCACATAATTTATGGCAACCCAATGGATAAGTGTTGGTGGGATGCAGACTAGCCAAGATACATCGCTTTATCCAAATGTGATGTCCACGACCACCATGTTGTCCTCTCCTTCTCACGAGTCTGGTGACAACTCCAGCAGCCCTGTGAGTCTTTACGCAAAATCCGTTTTGGGATTAAATTCGACCTTTAGTCCTAAAGGGAGAATAGGAGTGCGCAGAAAGAGAGAGTTCATACCCGAGGAGCAAAAAGATGGAAATTATTGGTTCAAAAGGAAAAGAAACAACGAGGCAGCGAAAATGTCAAGGCAGCGTCGGAGAATGGAGGGGATTCTTTTGGAGGGCCGAGCTAATGACCTTCTCAGAGAGAACGAAAAACTAAAAGCGACCCTTTCGGCTGTCCAATATCGCGCCATGGGAGTGCAGGGTGGTCATGATAAACCCGTTGATGAACAACACTTCTCAACACATTGTTTTCATCCGTCCTCAACTAGTGTACCTCGTGCGGCTCCTTGGATGCTGCCACCTGACGTGTCATCTGGCACACACTTTAACGTTTTAAAAGATGTGTTGGACAATACATTTACTGATGTTCCTGGATTAATCCATAACCCAGGTTTCCCCAACGTTGGCACCTGTCGAAGAACCCATTTTAACTGTTCAGATGTTTCCCACCAATTCCATTCTCCAGACAAGGAATGTTTCTCTGGAGCTGGAGTTCCCGATTCTTATCCACCGGTGCCAAGTTTGAATGACTATCAGTGCTACAGAAATGCTGGTATTGCATGCAATGTTGGACATTATCCGTCTCATATATTTGAATCACCATCCAGATATAGCACCTCTCCAAATGTAGGCATATCATACTCAGTGATTCGGTCAAGCGCTCAATACCCCAATGCACGTGCGCACCATGCGCGAGATGCCGTCATTGAAGATTGGGCAAATGGAAGCAAACGTGTGGATTTGGACCGCGCAAATAAAGGAATCTCAACTGACGGACAGAGTCACAGTATAGAACCGAGCTCTTCGGAAAGAAATGAAAGGGCCGCACAAGCCCATGACAGAACAACCACCGAAACATCTGACGGTGGGACAATGTACCTTTTACCACACAAATTAAGGTTCAAAGCTAACAAACCTTTAAAGGAACAAACGAATTGGTTTAGCAGAGCTTCGACAGATAACGACAATGAAATAAAGAACAGTGGTCAACTGTGCATCTACAATGGGAGTAGGCCTATGGATGAGCAAGAATTGGCACAAAGGGATTGCGCAAAAGAAAGTAAGCCTAATTCAAGTTGGTCTAACGTTCAACCTGACAAAGACAAGTTGCCGCAATATTTTGCCAGCTCTTGCAGTAAACTGTTAGTGTCAAAAGAAGCAACTACGCCAGAAATAATGACAAGTTCACCTGCCACAATCGTCCCAGGTGAAATAATTGAGAATGGACATTTAAGGCAACAGTTGGCGTCGCTATGTGCCGAGGTGAAAAACCTAAAGCAAATCATTTTGGCAAAATCACACAGATTTTTGGATTGAAACCCGATTGACTGTTATAACTTTATATAGCCTTTTCAAAAAGTATTATTATGGTATTGTGTTGCCCTTCCATCATCTGTTTTGGCTTAAAACTATTGAAGCCTATTATAAAATGAAAATTAAATGTTATGTCATGATTAAAATTCCCTAAACGACAACGGTCCTATTGTATGCCTAGTTCGTTTATTATTCAATCCATACATTGCACAGTACATTACAGTAACAACGTTGTTAGGCTTGCAAAATCATGAATATGGACTTTACAGCCAGGTGATGTCGCGCTTTCTCTATAAAGCGCATGAGCCAGTATGGCCTACCTACACATTAGTAGGTGCCCTCGCACAAAGACTGCTCATACTAATTCGTTTTTCATCCTTTTATAAACCGAAATGTAGCTACTTGGATAAATGATCTTACTTGTGTCAATCAGTTAGTCTAGCCTAACTCCTGTTCGATTGTTAGGCAGGTAGCTTAGTGGTAAGAGCGTTGTGCCAGTAACTGAAAGGTCGCTGGTTCTAATCCCCGAGCCAACTAGGTGAAAAATCTGTCGATGTGCCCTTGAGCAAGGCACTTAACCCTACTTGCTCCTGTAAGTCGCTCTGGATAAGAGCGTCTGCTAAATGACGTAAATGTAAATGTAATGTAAATTACTCCAAGTCATTTCGCTTGAGTAGCCTAGAAACTGCACTGCAAATTTCGATTTATATTAACTTGGCCTAAGTTATTGTCATATTTTTATTTATTTCTTGTAACATAAATGATTGAAATGGCCTGTAAATATGGCATCAAACAGGTGCAAAAATATATCGTTTTGTATCTATTTTAGTCAATAGAGGGCACTCTTGTTTTGCTGGGTATGTTAGCCCACTAAAGAGTTGGCTTTGGTTACTTTAATGCAAAAATCTTTCACATGAATGTTTTTTTTTCTAGAATCATATTTGTACTTAAATGTTTCCATCTAATTAAAATATAAAAAATTGCCATCAATCAAAAATACACAATGTTTTAAATTCGTCCATTGAAATGAATATCTCTTGTTACTGTATTCCCCGAAAAACATTTGTGACTTCACGACCATCGGACTTGATATGTCTACTGGAATAAAATAATCATTGGCTCAAAGCAGAAAATACTGGGTTTCAATAGGCTGTGTGGGCTTTCACTCACTGCACGCTGCCAATACACTTCTCCACTGACCTACTAACACAAATTCATGAGGTAGCGGTCACTTCGATTACTGTTCTCCTGGCAGCAGGATATTATGCTGGCGTCGCGATTGCGGATTTTCTTGTATTTCTAAAGTGGTGTTGGGAAAACTCAGCAGGGTCTGTAGAATCTGTATATGGGTTGTATTTATTGGGGGACTGTGGTCTAAATACCCAGAAGCACTTTCTACTCCACCCATTCTATTGGTCCCAATGCAATACACTGTACATTACATATTGGCTTATAGAGAAAAAACTATTCTATGTGCAGAGGTAAAAGTGGGGTTTGGGTATACTCAGTTGGGTCTATAGAATCTATATATGGTGTTATTTCATGGGGGACTGAGGTCTAAATACCCAGAAGCACTTTCTACTCCACCCATTACATTCACTGCAATGCAATACATTGTAGGCCTATAAATTACATATTGGCTTATAGAGAAAAAAAATATTCTATGTGCCTTTGGTTAAAGTGTTTATTTTTATTTTTATGACCTCGTTTTCTTCTCTATACGCCAATTTGTAATTTATAGGCATTGCAGTGAATGGAGTGGTTGGAGTATAAACTGCTGCTGGGTATTTAGACCTCAGCCCCCCATGAAATAACACCATATATAGATTCTATAGACCCAACTGAGTATACCCAAACCCCACTTTTACCTCGGCACATAGAATAGTTTTTTCTCTATAAGCCAATATGTAATGTATAGGCCCTACAGTGTATTGCATTGGGACCAATGAAATGGGTGGAGTAGAAAGGCCAATATTGTGAACATATCTGAACATTGTATTTTTCGATAGTGGTCTTAAGAAATGTTTTTAGAAGCATATTTGTAATTGTTTCCACAAAGTCCTTCTTTCATTCGCTTATAATCACAATAAAAATGGACATTGATTAAAATCTAATATCTTTTTAATGAATTAGTTATCCACATTGCAATGTTTTGAAATGCGGGCTTTTATTTTGAAGAATTCTTTATTAGCATACGTCATCGTTTGTGCTGCTGGCCGAATACTAGTGTCACTCCGAAAGGAAAAGCGAAGCAGACAAGGAACGTTACTTCAAATGTACTGGATTTTACCACCGGCAAAACTATTAGTTTTTGTGTATCAGAAACTTAGCCTTTACTATTTTACACGGTATACATCGGAAAACAATACATTTTTGATCAACCTGATGCTTGAAAAGGTAATTTTTATTTTAGTTCAGCGTTGGAAAGCCAGCCATACTGGTAGAAATTATGTTTACGTAGTCTAGTTGGCCGCCCTAACTATTTTGTCTCTAAAGACAAAAGCTCTGTAGCTTTTGTATTGCACCATATTCATTTATTTAAAAAGTTTACGTGTTATTTTCTTTTCTTACGTATTACATTAACTCATAACAAGTGTATTACTGTGTAATTAGCTAGTTGGACAGCTGTGGTATCACGTATGAGGTTACGTATGAGGTTCGCCTGCTTTGTTAGCTGTAACGGCTGGAGACTTCACATGTTGCTACAGTAACAAGCGTGCGGTTTAGTTGGATATTTTGTATCATTGTAGGCTAGATAACTACCAGTAAACATCACGCGCAGACGGAGCATGGCACAGTGACCTGGAATTCGATGTGGGTGGATTTGCTGCTGTCGCTCTGCGGATGGAAATAAGTCAATATATAATAATAATAATATAATAGCCTAATATGCCTGGGTTGGTGGCTTATCCAAGCATTGCTTTACATCACACCGCTGCAGTTTAAAATGGGCATTAGACTAAATACCAATACAGCATGTAAGACATGCATGGTACTACCTATGTGTGATGCTTTCCGCTGAGGAAATAGGCTTGGATAATGTATTTCAAGTAGACCTGCATTTGTTGTTAGTGTTAGATAATTTTTTATTTAAACCAATTACCAGTCCAGTATAGGCTAAAATTGCATAACCTCTTCAGCCTCAGAATTTTCTGCGGAGGGAGGGTGTTGATCGCGCTTATTTTATAATTCTGACAGGGGCAATGGTACATGACGGTGAACGAGCACCTCATCCTTTCGCGTCCTTCCAACTGACAATCAGAACATTCCGTCGCTGTTGAACGATTGACGAACTATGCATGCTACACCTAGACAGTCTGGAGTTGATGCCCATAGGCTAAAATGACTCACAAATCCGAGCATGGTATCAAAAAAAGAGCGGGGAATCAATATTTGCATAATGTATTGTTCCATTTGGTGCGCGATTGGCGACATTGTAAGCTACCGTAGTATAATGCGTTATTATTCCGTTGTTGGCTACATTATTGGCGCGATATTGACTCAAATTCATTCCAAAAGCGACTCCATTATAAATGTGTACAAAAGCATCGCAGACTCATTCGCACGTGTTTCGGGCCTTTAGTTAACCTAGTGTCAATTGTGTGAGTGTGGCGTCATTGTTCCCTGATTTTGTCTTTATTTTGTTGTTTCTGTCCAACCACGTGTGATGATTATGGCTGGACGCATTCCTTTGTTCCTTGTTTTTAGGAGTTATGGGAGCATGTTGTAGGCTCCAATATAGGAACACAATGTAACTACAGTATAGCTGCGTAGTTTTTTTCTTCCAATTGCTGCTTAATCTGACTATAAACCTAGGCGGTAGTTAGTGGTTACTAAAGGACTACGCCTTTTGTAAAGCCCACGCATTTGGCTTCGAGATGTTTATCTCATTGGATTTGAACGCACCACCAAGCTTGACCATTGAAGGTCATTGTCAGGCAGTCTCTCGGCGCTTTTACGACTGGAGCTAAAAATCTATGTTTAGGGCAGTGGGTTGACGGCACTAATAGATGTTGCTTTTCAACTGACTTGCCGCAAGAAAATAGCAAATAGCTTTTCCTCCTAGACTGTTTTGAAACGGGCATTGTTTCAGTGTGCATGACTTAATGCGTGAAGACCTCTGGCGATGACATAATCTGTAGCGCTGAATGGGGTCGTGCGCGCTCAAAAATCGCATAATTTTCGCCACTCTCCGAGCAATGGATTTCGCAGTTGTGTCACCCTAAAATGTCAGAGTAGTCTAGTCCTCCATTCGGCCTGGAAAAGGTTGGACTTGTTACAAGCATCTACTTTGCCTGTAGATATAGATGGACAATCTAATGTATTTATGATAATGTTTTTACCTAATTCCTACACTGTACTTTTAGAGGGAGAGAGAGAGACAGATAGACAGAGAAACAGAGGGAGAGCGAAAAAGAGAGACAGAGAGAGAGAGAGAAGGCGAGCAAGAGAGACTTGCTTTGGCAATGTAAACACGTTTCCCATGCCAATAAGCCCCTTTGAATTAGAATTTGAGAGGGAGAGAGAGAATGGGACACAACTATTGGTAATAGGTCATAAAACCTTGAATCCACTGTAATACATTTTCTGAAGTGAAGAATGAAGACAGGGAATCTGATTGGTCTGTTGTAATAGGGAAATGAAGACCTGGTTCAGCAAGCATATCCCTCTTGATATTGTGATCTGAAGAGGTTGCAAAGTTTAACAGTTTATGTCTGCTCTCAGGATGAGTTCAATCAATCAAATGTATTTATAAAGCCCATTTTACATCAGCGGATGTTACAAGGTGCTGTACAGAAACCCAGCCTAAAACCCCAAACACCAAGCAATGCAGATGTAGAAGCACGGTGGCTAGGAAAAGCTCCCTAGAAAGGCAAGAACCTAGGAAGAAACCTAGAGAGGAACCAGGCTCTGAGGGGGTGGCCAGTCCCCTTCTGGCTGTGCCGGGTGGAGATTATAAGAGTACATGGCCATTAAGGCCAGATTGTTCTTCAAGATGTCCAAACGTTCATAGATGACCAGCAGGGTCAGATTTGTAAGATCTGTATTTGGCCAAGGGCCACCCTGAGTGGTGTAACCTGCTCACAGGCACCATGTCAGTAAACAATACAGAATAAAGAATAATACATACCTATACCAAAACAGTGTATTTAATTGGACACGGACTGGTGTAAATCTACTGTAAAGCAGAAGGTAAATGTTAAAGCCATTACATTCCGTCTGCGCTAATTCATCTGTTACGAAGCTCAACATCAGCTCAGACGTTCATTTTCCTCTGCTGTGAAAGTCGCTTTATATTATGGTGTAAGAATACAAGATGAGTTTGAATAATGGTGTGGAGGATATTTCACATCTCAAATCCGCAGAGGATTTCAGCTACTTTGTGAGTCAATTATACTAAACGTTATGAGGAGATTATGGCATCACTAACCCCAAAACCAGTTTTTCAAGTTCGTAAGCTGTAAGGTTGAAGACAAAACCATACTAATGTACCTTGCTTGCTTATGTAGCTATGGTGTTACAGTGGCTTGCGAACGTATTCACCCCGCTTGGCATTTTTCCTATTTTGTTGCCTTACAACCTGGAATTAAAATGGATTTTTGGGGGGTTTGTATCATTTGTTTTTACACAACATGCCAACCACTGCTGGTGTACAGCAATCTTCAAGTCATACCACAGATTCTCAATTGGATTGAGGTCTGGGCTTTGACTAGGCCATTCCAAGACATTTAAATGTTTCCCCTTAAACCACTCAAGTGTTGCTTTAGCAGTATGCTTAGGGTCATTGTCCTGCTGGAAGGTGAACCTTCGTCCCAGTCTCAAATCTCTGGAAGACTGAAACAGGTTTCCCTCAAGAATTTCCCTGTATTTAGCGCCATCCATCATTCCGTCAATTCTGACCAGTTTCGCAGTCCCTGCCGATGAAAAACATCCCCACAGCATGATGCTGCCACCACCATGCTTCACTGTGATGATGAGAGTTGTTGGGTTTGCGCCAGACATAGCATTTTCCTTGATGGCCAAAAAGCTCAATTTTTGTCTTATCTGACCAGAGTACCTTCTTCCATATGTTTGGGGAGTCTCCCACATGCCTTTTGGCAAACACCAAACGTGTTTGCTTATTTCTTTCTTTAAGCAATGGCTTTTTTTCTGGCCACTCTTCCGTAAAGCCCAGCACTGTGGCTTGTACGGCTTAAAGTGGTCCTATGGACAGATACTCCAATCTCCACTGTGGAGCTTTGCAGCTCCTTCAGGGTTAGCTTTGGTCTCTTTGTTGCCTCTGATTAATGCCCTCCTTGCCTGGTCCATGAGATTTGGTGGGCGGCCCTCTCTTGGCAGGTTTGTTGTGGTGCCATATTCTTTCCATTTTTAATAATGGATTTAATGGTGTACCGTGGGATGTTCAAAGTTTCTTTAACCCAACCCTGATCTGTACTTCTCCACAACTTTGTCCCTGACCTGTTTGGAGAGCTCCTTGGTCTTCATGGTGCCGCTTGCTTGGCGGTGCCCCTTGCTTAGTGGTGTTACAGACTCTGGGGCCTTTCAGAACAGGTGTATATATACTGAGATCATGTGACAGATAATGTTACACTTAGATTGCACACAGGTGGACTTTATTTAACTAATTATGTGACTTCTGAAGGTAATTGGTTGCACCAGATCTTATTTAGGGGCTTCATAGCAAAGGGGGTGAATACATATGCACGCACCACTTTTCCGTGATTAATTTTGTAAGAATTTTTTTAAACAAGTTCTTTTTTTTCACTTCACCAATTTTGACTGTTTTGTATATGTCCATTACATGAAATCCAAATAAAAATACATTTAAATTACAGGTTGTAATGCAACAAAATAGGAAAAATTCCAAGGGGGATGAATACCTTTGCAAGGCACTGTATAAACAATGAACTAGCCTGGCTACTCCTTTTCGGGTATATATGGTATGTTCTGCACAAAACAATCCCCATAAAAAACTTCAAACACAAATGTTGCCATTCTTCAACCCTTTATTAAGTAGTATGTAGAAATGGTGAGTGTGAATCTTCAAGATTTTGTTTCTTACAGTACTCCATGAGTACTAAGCAACATCTATGTTTACGCAGCCGAAAGATTAATGTAATAGTGATGTACACTGCGACTGAGCACATGAAATGGAAGCCAGAGACAATTGTGAAAAGCCGTCTGATCTTAAACTTTGATATCTAAAACGTGCCATTTTCTTTTCTTCACAGCTTCGGTGAATTCCAAAGGACCATCCCCCTGTTAGAAGTACCATTGTTGGACACAAATGTCATTGGTACCTTTGGGTTTAAGATAACGAGATGTCCAGTCAAAAGGACTAAGGACCTATGAGTTTCTTGAACACAAATATCCCAATCTTTGAAATATGCAGACCATCAAGAGCGAGCCACTGTCAAATGGCTCCTACAGCGGAGACGATGCCCTGGTCCTGGCTGTGGCCCTTCAAGGGGCCGACAGGGATCTGATGGACCACAAGCTCTCCGCCATGCCCTTCAAGGCCAAAGGCACCACCTGCCGCAGGAAACGGGAGTTCACCCCGGACGAAAAGAAAGACTATCTCTACTGGGAGAGGCGACGCAAGAACAACGAGGCGGCCAAGCGTTCGCGGGAGAAGCGGCGCCTCAACGACATGGTGCTGGAGAACAAGCTACTGGCCCTGGGCGAGGAGAATGCTTCCCTCAAAGGAGAGCTGCTGGCCCTGAAGCTCAAATTCGGCCTGGTCAGCTCTGCGGCCTACACGCAGGAGGTGCAGAAGATCTCTGTGTCAACGGCCGCCCTCTACCACGACTTTGTCTCGCCTGGCGAAGCCCGAGGCTCTTACATCAGGGACCTAGAGTCCCCTCACCTGGGCAGCAGCTGCATATCGGTCATCAAGCACTCCCCTCACAGCGCGCTATCTGACATGGCCGAAATCTCTGCAGCGACCAAGGGTAGCATGTGCAGGACCCCTGAGATCATCAAGCAAGAGCCAGCCGAGCACGGAAGCTACGCGCGTGAGAGGAGCAGTCCGTACGAACTGTACAGGAACTACATGGCCAGCCCTTTCCCCGGGGTTTACTCCCAACCCTCCCTGTTCCTGCCGCTCACCAGGTCGTCCAGCAACTCCCCGAGGACCTCGGACGACGGGGCCTTGAGTAAGTCCTCGGACGGCGAGGATGAGCAGCAGGTCCCCAAAGGCCCCATGCCGCATGCAGCCGACCAGAAGAGTGTCATTGTCGCCCGCCTCAAAGCGCCAGATGCTTGTTCATCGGCTCTGCCCCACAAACTGCGGATCAAGACCAGGGCCATTCCAATCAAAGTGGAGGCCATCGACCCTGACTACGACTCCTCTGGAAAGTCCTCCTCTCCCATTGACATGTCGGCCAGAGAATGCTACCAGAGGGGCCAGAGTGCCGCGGCAGACTACATGCAGTCGTCCCTCAGCCCCTTGTCACTCCAAGTGACCAACATCCGGGATTGGACCCACCGGCCAGAGCACTGGCACAAAGACAGCTCAGAGAAGCCACAAAATGGCTACCAGAACAGGCTCTCCCCGGGCCCTGCCTCCAAGAAACTCAATGTGGACCTTGATGATGGCTCCTACGCCCAGTCAGACTCTGAGAACTTGTACTTAAAACGAGGCATAGCTGACCTGTCTGTAGAAGTTCTCTCTCTGAAAAGACTGATAACGACGCGGCAAGGGTCCGTGATAGAATCAACCAAAAGCACTACTGACCATGAGTCATTATCGAAAGGATGTTACTCAAAATGATTTCTGTTTTGCACAATGCCTTGTTTTCCACTGCATTTACTATTGCGCTGTGCGGTTGATATGGTGTATAAATGCAGTACATTTAAAATTAATGGTGTGTTGTGCACTTGCTGTTGTAGTTCGGTGTATCTTCTTGATAACTCCACCTGTAACCCAAAGCCAAATGTCAGGCTGAGGCTACTGTACATGCACATTTTATGTTAACTTTTTAAAGTTATGTTGTAAATGGTGACTTTTTGTTGACAATAAATATGTGTAAGCACTGAACCTTGTGCGTGTGTGTCTTTTAACAGTATTATTTTCAGTTGATCTGTTAAGTATTTCAACAAACAGTTCAGGACAAGGATGCAAATAAATCATTGTCTCTGATACTGGTAGGATTAATGCAATACACTCATCAGAAACCGTTCATGTCCATCACAATCTCTGAAGAGTTTAGCAGGGGAAAAACTATTGATGAGGCATGTTAATGAAGGTAGCTCTGCAGATGCCCACTTTTGTGTTCCCGCCCCTACAAGTTAAAGAAACACTATGAGTTAAATTGCTAATTATTTATGTACAATTTTGGATAGAATCTTGGCTGAATGGTTCAAGTCATATACATTCATGTTAATAATCAGTTTCTTACAGTATATCATGAAACCACACAAATGCTTAGTATTTGGCCAACAATAGCCTATATGTCATTTCTGGACAATATTTCTGTCCATTTAGGGGAACCATTTTGGCTCAAGAGCACCCATAGGCAAAACAATACCCTCTTTAACCCTGAAAATGAGCTGACTAACGTACAACTAACTATGCAGCCTTTACCTTGAAATGAGAACATCCCATGTATGAATATATTATTGCTATCTGAAGCCAACAAATATTATCCCGTTGAGGACCTGTTTTCTCACAGCAACCAACCTAACTTGCATTTTGTCAGAAAAAGGGTTTATTGATTTGGGGTCATATGGCCACAACTATAACATAGAAAAGCATTGCAGACCATGTTGGCTCTGTCCCCAGTATCCACTTACAAGATGATGCCTGGGATGCAAGGCTACAAACACCCAATAATAACAATATTACTATCTCATCAAATCTGGGAAAGTAATCCAGCCTCATCACAGAAAAAACGACGATACAGTTGGCATGTCTACATTCCTTCACTGGCTGACTGGGGTACTACCGAAATACTTGTTTCAAGACTCCAGTCTCAGTCATTTCAATTAATGAAATACCACTTGATTTTCATGAATAGCGTACCTTAATGAGATTAATACAACTGTCTTTCTTAATCCATCATAACTATGAAACTAAGCCATAGGAGAACAATGGAGTCATGCACAGTCATGTTTTCTAGTAGCCAAACTGGTTACTTTCATGGAATGTCATTCCTTGAGCACTGCATACAGGACCAAGGGCAGTTACCATGTGATAATGTAATGTGATACAGCACACTGCAGTGTTTACGTTTTGTTGGTGGAATCACTCTTTGATGGTTTGATGGACAACCTGAGACCAATGCATTCTGAGCGCAAGCAACCATTCAAGTTGCTTTGTTTTTGCCCATATAATGCATGTTTGGGCAAAAATGCGTTCGTGCCATAGCTCAGAATTTCACTGTAGTGTTATTACGCACTCGACGAAGATACACAGGTAAAAGTGATGGATTTAGAAGTTTTTATTTAAAAAAATGTTTTAACAATTATGGAGATAGCATTATTGTATTGCTGTAGCTAGCAGAGGGAATACTATTGTGTGGCTAGTCACGTGATCAACACACGTCACACTCGGTTCAAAGTTGAAAGTCAAAACAACACTGCAGCACGACAGTATGGCGGTTCTTGTGGGGTGCCGAGTTCTTCTGCAAGCTATTCGACCCCAAACGGGTACCCTCGAGGGAGTGCGCAGATTGCCGGAGCATGCGAAGTCTTTGCACAATGTCCTCAACAACAAACTACTGTGCATTCGTCCGACAAGCAATGGAGCGACCCGTCATTACAGCTCCGATATTAAGGATGACTTGAGCATTAGATATCTGGACGGAGAAGATTCAGGTAGCTAGCCATTGCAATTAGTGTATAAAACAATCCCAAATCGTGTTGATGGTGTAAGACGACTTTGTTTCAGAAAGTGTTGCCAAATCAAATAGCTATAACAACTAAACGCGACACGTTTGAGTTGCCTGCAGATAAAGCTGCTCTGTTAGCTGCTACGCTATCTGTTGCTCAACGTCATAACTTGTCAAAACAATGTTAAAATGCCTAATCCTTGAAAGAGAAACATTGTTCCTCAATAGTTGTTACAATGTCCTAATTACCAAACGTTGAAAGAAAACGTCGAGAACGAATCCTATGTCACTAGTGTAGACTGCAAAATTAATGCTGTGGTGAAACCACTAATCACATGCATGACCTATTGGCTAATGGTCCTCTGTAGCTCAACTGGTAGAGCAAGGTAGTGGGTTCGATCCCCGGGACCACCCATACATAAAAATGTATTCACGCATCACTGTAAGTCGCTTTGGATAAAAGCGTCTGCTAAATGGCATATTATTATTATAAAAAGAGGATTTGAATGACTGACACACAACACTGAAGAAAGCTTGAAAACGGCCATTATTGTCTTTATTTTTGTAATTTTTCGGGAGGCTATTTTTGGTAAAAAGATTCCCAACTGATCCAATTGTAAATCTAGATAAATCATCTCTCCAAAAATATTTGTCACGTTTTCTCTAGCAATGTCAGAGATAACTATCCAGAAGTCAAGTAAGTAGCAATGTGGTCCTCTGTAGCTCAGCTGGTAGAGCATGGCGCTTGTAACGCCAAGGTAGTGGGTTCGATCCCCGGGACCACCCATACACAAAAATGTATGCACGCATGACTGTAAGTCGCTTTGGATAAAAGCGTCTGCTAAATGGCTTATTATTATTATTAGCAAAGCCCTTTAAAACTTTTTCAATGGAAATGCCCACAACATCCATGCTCAAACTGACTGCAAGGTGTTTGTCAGTGTCAATTTCTTGACTCTTGCAAAATCTCACCACCTCCCACCCTTGTGATCTTGTCCTAAGGGTGTCCCATGTCAATATAAATGATGAGTTTGCTGTTTGCTATTGTCCCTTCAATCCCCAGTCCAGGACTTGCCAGTGAATGTCAAAAGTATTTTGCTCAATTCCTTGCCTACTTCTCAAAATAAAACGTTAGTTTTATTTAGTAAATATTTTCTTAACTCTTATTTTTCTTAAAACTGCATTGTTGGTTAAGGGTTTGTAAGTACGCATTTCACGGTAAGGTCTACACCTGTTGTATTCGACGCATGTGACGAATACAAATTGATTTGATTTGATTGAGGAGGCAAGGAAAATCCTGGAGGAATCCAGGAAAACATTTTTGAGATTCACCCATGGCCATTGCCTTCTGTTTAGAGACATGGAACCAATAATACATTCCCATGAGCCTCTGGGGCACAGTGCCATAATATTATTGATGGTATTCAATATTTTGTTGGTTAAGGGCTGTAAGTAAGCATTTCACTGTAATGTCTGCACCTGTTGTATTCGGCGCATGTGACCAATAAAATTTGATGATCACAGACCTAGTAAGTAATGGTGATGTCTATATTGATTTATGCCACACCAGATTATATAATTTCCGTATTATATTTACATTTTAGTCATTTAGCAGACGCTCTTATCCAGAGCGACTTACAGTTTAGTGAGTGCATACATTTTTTCATACTGGCCCCCCGTGGGAAACGAACCCACAACCCTGGCGTTGCAAGCGCCATGCTCTACCAACTGAGCTACAGGGGACTCTTATCAACCACAGAACTTGGAATTTTGCACATCTGAAAATGATGGCGGTTGGTGAACTAAGAACAGATAATCAGCTTGAACAGGTACAATGGGATAATTTAGTTTTTCTCCAGAATAAGTTAGGTAAAGTGGCATTTCCATTACTTTGAAACTTTGTTTTATTATTCTTTATGCCCTTCCTGGCTACATTCAATCAGTATTGCAATAAAAGTAATGGTGGTCCATGACTGTAAATGACTGTTCTCCCACTGCTTAGGAGAAAATATAATGATGAGCAAACGCATGCCTTCCACTGTTCAAGTAAGACAAAGACCTTACCATTTGTCGGCTTTAAATGGACCAAAACAAAACAAACCTAAATACATCCAGAAGGGTTATTTAGGGGACTGGAAGCAATGTCAATATCAACTGCTCACAATGATTGTTTCATCTCAACACAAATGCTACAAATTATTATATCATAGTACTATGGGTGTACTATATTATATCATAGTACTATGGTACTGTACTATATTATATCATAGTACTATGGGTGTACTATATTATATCATAGTACTATGGTACTGTACTATATTATGTCATAGTACTATGGTACTGTACTATATTATATCATGGTACTGTACTATATTATATCATAGTACTATGGTACTGTACTATATTATATCATAGTACTATGGTACTGTACTATATTATATCATAGTACTATGGTACTGTACTATATTATATCATAGTACTATGGTACTGTACTATATTATATCATGGTACTGTACTATATTATATCATATATCATGTTTGTTATTCATGGTCCCTCTCTGTCTGTTATTCATGGTCCCTCTCTGTCTGTTATTCATGGTCCCTCTCTGTCTGTTATTCATGGTCCCTCTCTGTCTGTTATTCATGGTCCTCTCTGTCTGTTATTCATGGTCCCCTCTGTCTGTTATTCATGGTCCTCTCTGTCTGTTATTCATGGTCCTCTCTGTCTGTTATTCATGGTCCCCTCTCTGTCTGTTATTCATGGTCCCCTCTCTGTCTGTTATTCATGGTCCCCTCTCTGTCTGTTATTCATGGTCCCCTCTCTGTCTGTTATTCATGGTCCCTCTCTGTCTGTTATTCATGGTCCTCCCTGTCTGTTATTCATGGTCCCCTCTCTGTCTGTTATTCATGGTCCCCTCTCTGTCTGTTATTCATGGTCCTCTCTGTCTGTTATTCATGGTCCCCTCTCTGTCTGTTATTCATGGTCCCCTCTCTGTCTGTTATTCATGGTCCCCTCTCTGTCTGTTATTCATGGTCCCCTCTCTGTCTGTTATTCATGGTCCCCTCTCTGTCTGTTATTCATGGTCCCCTCTCTGTCTGTTATTCATGGTCCCCTCTCTGTCTGTTATTCATTGTCCCCTCTGTCTGTTATTCATGGTCCCCTCTGTCTGTTATTCATGGTCCTCTCTGTCTGTTATTCATGGTCCTCTCTGTCTGTTATTCATGGTCCCCTCTCTGTCGGTTATTCATGGTCCCCTCTCTGTCTGTTATTCATGGTCCCCTCTCTGTCTGTTATTCATGGTCCCCTCTCTGTCTGTTATTCATGGTCCCTCTCTGTCTGTTATTCATGGTCCTCCCTGTCTGTTATTCATGGTCCCCTCTCTGTCTGTTATTCATGGTCCCCTCTCTGTCTGTTATTCATGGTCCTCTCTGTCTGTTATTCATGGTCCCCTCTCTGTCTGTTATTCATGGTCCTCTCTCTGTCTGTTATTCATGGTCCCCTCTCTGTCTGTTATTCATGGTCCCCTCTCTGTCTGTTATTCATGGTCCCCTCTCTGTCTGTTATTCATGGTCCCCTCTCTGTCTGTTACACATGGTCCTCTCTGTCTGTTATTCATGGTCCCTCTCTGTCTGTTATTCATGGTCCTCCCTGTCTGTTATTCATGGTCCCCTCTCTGTCTGTTATTCATGGTCCCCTCTCTGTCTGTTAATCATGGTCCTCTCTCTGTCTGTTATTCATGGTCCCCTCTCTGTCTGTTATTCATGGTCCCCTCTCTGTCTGTTATTCATGGTCCCCTCTCTGTCTGTTATTCATGGTCCTCTCTGTCTGTTATTCATGGTCCCCTCTCTGTCTGTTATTCATGGCCCCCTCTCTGTCTGTTATTCATGGTCCCCTCTCTGTCTGTTATGCATGGTCCTCTCTGTCTGTTATTCATGGTCCTCTCTGTCTGTTATTCATGGTCCTCTCTGTCTGTTATTCATGGTCCCCTCTCTGTCTGTTATTCATGGTCCTCTCTGTCTGTTATTCATGGTCCCCTCTCTGTGGTTCTAACATGTTATCTATCTTTTAGGGATTGTCGTCTTTGGGATCAATCGACCAAAGCAAAAAAATGCCATCAGCAAAAACCTTGTGATTAGGGTATGTATGGACATCAGTGAGGTAGCCTAGATCAAGTATGGCTGTTATTAGCACCCATTTTCATCATGATTGTGTTCTCTGTTAGATGACTGAGGCTGTGGAGAGTGTGAAAAAGAACAACAAAGTGCGGACTGTCATCATTTGTAGTATGGTGCCTGGGATATTCTGTGCAGGTACACAACAGCTTAATATTTTGGGTGATGATGGGGTTAGACAGTTTGAACTGTGTCCTTGATGCATTTACTGTGTAAGTGATATTCTTAATAATTCAATGGGTATGTCGTTAATTTAAAAGGCCAATATTTATATGTGTATTTTTGAATATTTCCTGCATGTATTATTATTTTTATTTTTTTTAGAAATCACGGGTGTGGAATCAGTTTATCGGTAGCCATAATCTGTGTAAATCATTGTTGCTTTTATGCTGTCTGTAACTCCTCACCAATTGATGTAACCTATGTCGTAGCCTAGATACTGGCTGAAAAACAGAAAATGTTTCACATTTTCATTCTATTAGAAGATTTATTGGATTCAGGCAAATGTAATGCATTCTACTGATGCACACACACACAAAAAAAATGTTTTTGCAAGTATGATTATGACATGTTGTTTTCTCTGTACAGGTGCGGACCTTAAAGAGCGGGCCAAAATGCACCAAAGTGAAGTGGGACCCTTTGTGTCCAAAGCAAGGGCACTAATCTCAGAACTTGGTGAGGGAATCGATGACGACGTACAGTACCAGTCAAAAGTTTGGACACACCTACTCATTCAAGGGTTTTTCTTTATTTTTTACTATTTTCTACATTGTAGAATAATAGTGAAGACATCAAAACTATGAAATAGCACATAGTAGTAACCCCAAAAGTGTTAAACAAATCAAAATATATTTTATATTTGAGATTCTTCAAAGTAGCCACCCTTTGCCTTGATGACAGCTTTGCACACTCTTGGCATTTTCTCAACCAGCTTCATGAGGTAGTCACCTGGAATGCTTTTCCAACAGTCTTGAAGGAGTTCCCACATATGCTGAGCACTTGTTAGCTGCTTTTCCTTCACTCTGCGGTCCAACTCATCCCAAACCATCTCTATTGGGTGGAGGTCGGGTGATTGTGGAGGTCAGGTCATCTGATGGAGCACTCCATCACTCTCCTTCTTGGTCAAATAGCCCTTACACATCCTGGAGGTGTGTTTTGGGTCATTGTCCTGTTGAAAAACAAATAATAGTCCCACAAAGCGCAAACCAGATGGGATGGCGTATCGCTGCAGAATGCTGTGGTAGCCATGCTGGTTAAGTGTGCCTTGAATTCTAAATAAGTCACCAGCAAAGCACCCCCACACCATCACACCTCCTCCTACATGCTTCACGGTGGGAACCACACATGCAGAGATCATCCGTTCACCTACTCTGCGTCTCACAAAAACACTGAGGTTGGAACTAAAAATCTCACATTTGGACTCATCAGACCAAAGGACAGATTTCCACCGGTCTAATGTCCATTGCGCGTGTTTCTTGGCCCAAGCAAGTCTCTTCTTCTTATTGGTATCCTTCAGTAGTGGTTTCTTTGCAGCAATTCGACCATGAAGGCCTGATTCACGCAGTCTCCTCTGAACAGTTGATGTTGAGATGTGTCTGTTACTTGAACTCTGTGAAGCATTTATTTGGGCTGCAATCTGAGGTGCAGTTAATTGCCGATTTCTGAGGCTGGTAACTCTAATGAACTTGTCCTCTGCAGCAGAGGTAACTCTGGGTCTTCCTTTCCTGTGGCTGTCCTCATGAGAGCCAGTTTCATCATAGCTCTTGATGGTTTTTGTGACTGCACTTGTAGAAACTTTCGAAGTTCTTGACATTTTCCGTATTGACTGACCTTCATGTCTTAAAGTAATGATAGACTGTCGTTTCTCTTTGCTTATTTGAGTTGTTCTTGCCATAATATGGACTTGGTCTTTTACCAAATAGGGCTATCTTCTGTATACCAACCCTACCTTGTCACAACACAACTGATTGGCTCAAACGCATTAAGAAGGAAATAAATTCCACAAATTAACTTTTAAGAAGGCACACCTGTTAATTGAAATGCATTCCAGGTGACTACCTCATGAAGCTGGTTGAGAGAATGCCAAGAATGTGCAAAGCTGTCATCAAGGCAAAGGGTGGCGACTTTGAAGAATCTCAAATATAAAATGTGTTTTGATTTGTTTAACACTTTTTTGGTTACTACATGATTCCATATGTGTTATTTCATAGTTTTGATGTCTTCACTACTATTCTATAACATAGAAAATAGTAAAAAATTAAGAAAAACCCGTGAATGAGTAGGTGTGTCCAAACTTTTAACTGGTACTGTATTTTATAGGGCCGGGACGATACCAGTATCGCAAAATTTCTTCCAATCCCAAAATGAAAACAGGAAGCAGACCAAACACTTTGGTCCTTCAAACAGACGGATTCTGATGAAAACAGGAAGCAGACCAAACACTTTGGTACTTTAAACAGACGGATTCTGATGAAAACAGGAAGCAGACCAAACACTTTGGTACTTTAAACAGACGGATTCTGATGAAAACAGGAAGCAGACCAAACACTTTGGTCCTTCAAACTGACGGATTCTGATGGGGATCTTTGTATTATGCTAATTCGATTTTTCGCGGGGGCACGGACATCGACTCTAAAGGGTTAAAAACCTGCTGTATGTAAAATATTGTGTCTTATAGCTTGGAAAATTTATAAATTTGACTGGATGACAACATAATGTTTGTTTCCAACATTAGGGATGTTTTCCTAAAGAAGTTAAATCCGCTTTGTGTTTTGTTTCCTTTCCACGATATTAACTAGTATCGTCCCGGCCCTAGTATTTCACACAAATGAGTCTGGTTTTCTCTCCTAGTCCGCCAAGCGGACATAATGTCCCAAATTGTTTCATGTTCACAAAGCAGCACATGAATCATTTCATCATCCTCGAATCCATTCTATTCATTGATGATAATTTTGTCTTGTTCATTTCCTGTGGTTATAAATTCATGCCAGGTGGACTGGAATGAGATGACTCATTTTATTCCATTTTTAGAGCCTTGTTATTCACTAGGCCAAGGGGTGTTAAACTCTTACCCCACGAGGTCCGGAGCCCGCTGGTTTTCTCTTCTACCTGATAATTAATTGCACCCACCTGGTTTTCCAGGTCTAAATCAGTCCCTGATTACAAAAGAACAATGAAAAAAACACAGTGGAACTGGCTTTGAGGGGTTGAGTTTGAGGGCACTAGGGCTATATGGGATTAACACTCAGATGCCACACTACCTACATCGTTTAGAGAAGCTGATAGTCTATACATGCCTCATACTTTTATCCTGATGCATCCAGGTTTCCCTACGTCTCTGTTCTTTCACAAAAAATCCATACACGAAGTTGCTTTGTTTTAAAGATGACATAAACCCATACCAATGTATTTAAACATTGGCTATAAGCTTTAGTGCTTCAGGGAGATTTAGTCATATCGCCTGTACACATTTTACACTACTGTGATCGAGGGCTAAGGACACATTGCTAATTCGTAGCGTCGTCATTTATACCTCTTTCATTTGTATTGTTTTATATTGTGGATGTGTGTGAGACAAGTCTTCAGAGAGATGATCTGAAGAGAGTACACCATGTTTTCTTTATTTTCTTTGTGTCTGCTGGAGAAAAATGTTTTCCATCATACTCCATTTGACAAATACCCCCCCCCCCCGTCCCGTCTCTATGTAGGTAATCTGCCCATGCCAACGATCGCAGCTATCGATGGAGCTGCCCTTGGTGGGGGTCTGGAGATGGCTCTGTCCTGTGACATCAGAATTGCCTGTAAGTAACCCATTGTTTTAAAATGGGTGATCAGGTGCTTGTATCTAAAACAGGTACACACAGGTAGCAGGTAGCCTACATTTACATTTACATTTTAGTCATTTAGCAGACGCTCTTAGAGCCTTGGGCCAGTAACAGAAAGGTCACTGGTTCGAATACCAGAGCCGACTAGGTGAAAAAGCTGTTGATGTGCCCTTGAGCAAGGCACTTAACCCTAATTGTTCCTGTAAGTCGCTCTGGATAAGAGAGTGTGGCTAAATGAATAATATATAGGGGTGTAACATAGACATTACAGTAAAGACAGCTAGCATTTCTCTAGAGCCTCCAATGATTCATACTAGTAAAACAAAGTGTTGACACACTGTCTTTGTGCTGGGTCCATTATGAGACGTGACAACATTCCTGTTCAGCAGAGTTATGGACATGTTTTTCCAAATACTGTAATTCTCTAGTTGACAAATGATCACCGAGCAGATATAAGAGAGGGTACATGCCCCCACATGCCCTGATGAATGAGTAGACTGTACAGAACAGATCTAGTAGAATGTACTAGACCTATATTTAGTTTCCCACATTGAGAGATTAGACTATGGCAGTTGGTTGATTCATTTACTGATGGTTTGATTTAGCATAATGATATGTGTAAGATGAATGCCGATCTAAAAACATCACTGTAATTGTTGTTGAATGTACATGTTGTTGTCCTCGTCGAGCATGACTAGTCCCTTCTAGTGAGATTCACACGGCTTCCATTTGCTGGAGCGAATCAACACACCGTCTTTAAATTGCCAAGGAACAGATGTCAGCGTGTGCAATGTTTCTCTCAGCCTCAGAGTTAAATCTGTTCCTCGTTTCTAACACGTCACTCCCCTTCGCCGTATGAGAGAGGCGATATTCCATATGCTTTCACACATGTTCTCTGATCGTTTTATTAGTCAGAGCTAAAGGCAGGGGAGCTATTTTAAGCATGGGGGGGAGGGGGGGGGGGGGGTGTTCACAGATGAAAGTGGCTTTAAAGTTTCATGGCATCATAACACCGCAGATGTGATCATGCATGCCAGACTGAGTGACTGAAGAGTCCTCTCTGAATGAATCAACTGTCGACAGCGATAGGGGTTGTCATTGTTTTAGTGAGGGATGAAACTAAGGGCTGCTCAGTAGCTGTGTGGTTATCGGTGCCAGGATGAGTGCAGAAAACATTTACAACCTAGAAGGTATAATCCCCTCTTTACTGACAGTAAAGATACCTGCAGCATTTCTGTGGCCTGTAAACCAGAAGATAAACACAAAAGTAGGGACGCAACAACGAAATGACAGATATGTTTTTAGCCATTGCCGTCTGTTACCGATATGAAGATGTTGTGCATCCCTACCAAAAAGTCACTCATGTCACATTTCACACCCTGTGTAGGGATGGAGACTCACACAGCAGCTCGTTTGTTTCCCTGGTTTTTCTCAACAAACAAGTAGACATGCAGTATTCCATATTTCCCTGGTGTTCGCAACAATCAAGTAGATATGCAGTATTCCATATTTCCCTTTTTTCCCGCAACAAACAAGTAGACATGCAGTATTCCAAATTTCCCTTGTTTTCACAACAAACAAGTAGACATGCAGTATTCCATATTTCCCTTGTTTTCACAACAAACAAGTAGACATGCAGTATTCCATATTTCCCTTGTTTTCGCAAAAGAAAAAGTAGACATTCAGTATTCCATATATCCCTTGTTTTCGCAAACAAACAAGTAGACATGCAGTAATCCATATTTCCCTTGTTTTCGCAAACAAACAAGTAGACATTCAGTATTCCACATTTCCCTTGTTTTCGCAACAAACAAGTAGACATGCAGTAATCCATATTTCCCTTGTTTTTACAACAAACAAGTAGACATGCAGTATTCCATATTTCCCTTGTTTTCGCAACAAACAAGTAGACATACAGTATTCCATATTTCCCTTGTTTCTAAACGACACCTGCAATGGTAAGAAAGTGCACCCAAACGCGCTTCAGCCCAGCTTCAAACAAAAAGGGGAATCGGGTGCTCAACTAGGGGACTTGAAAATCCCCCAAAACATTTCCTTACCCCAGGACACTTCAACTGGTGAACTAAAGAAAAAAGATGTTTCCGCATTATTATATTATATTATATTTATTGGCAGGACATGAACAGGCTTACCTTCCTGCTATGGATTCACTGTATAGGCTACCGACTTGCATAAGTCACTCTAAATACACAGTGCCTTTGGAAACTATTCAGACCCCTTTACATTTTCCAGATTTTGTTAGGTTACAGCCTTATTCTAAAATGTATTTGTATATACATAATTTATTCCCCTCATCAATCTACACACAATACCCCAAAATGACAAAGCAAAAACTGGTTTTTAGAAATTGTTGCTAATTTATAAAAAATGAAAAATAGAACTATCACATTTACATAAGTATTCAGACCCTTTACTCAGTACTTTGTTGAAGCACCTTCGGCAGCAATTACAGCCTAGAGTCTTCTTGGTTATGACTCTACAAGCTTGGTACACCTGTATTTGGGGAGTTTCTCTCATTCTTCTCTGCAGATCCTCTCAAGCTCTGTCAGGTTGGATGGGGAGGGTCGCTGCACAGCTATTTTCAGGTCTCTCCAGAGATGTTCGATCGGGTTCATGTCCGGGCTCTGGCTGGGCCACTCAAGGACATTCAGAGACTTGTCCCGAAGCCACTCCTGCATTGTCTTGGCTGTGTGCTTAGGGTCGTTGTCCTGTTGGAAGAGTGAACCTTCACCCCAGTCTGAGGACCTGAGCACTCTGGAGCAGGTTTTCATCAAGGATCTCTCTGTACTTTGCTCCGCTCATCTTTACCTCGATCCTGACTAGTCTCCCAGTCCCTGCCGCTGAAAAACATCCCCACAGCATGATGCTGCCACCACCATACTTCACCGTAGGGATGGTGCCAGGTTTCCTCCAGACTTGACGCTTGGCATTCAGGCCAAATAGTCTAATCTTGGTTTCTCATGGTCTGAGAGTCTTTAGGTGCATTTTGGCTCCTAGTGGGCTGTCATGTGCCTTTTACTGAGGAGTGGCTTCCGTCTGGCCACTCTACCATAAAGGCCTGATTGATGGAGTGCTGCAGAGATGGTTGTCCTTCTAGAAGGTTCTCCCATCTCCACAGAGGAGCTCTAGAGCTCTGTCAGAGTGACCATCGGGTTCTTGGTCACCTCCCTGATCAAGGCCCTTCTCCCCCAATTGCTCAGTTTGGCCGGGCGGCCAGCTCTAGGAAGAGTCTTGGTGGCTCAAAACTTCTTCCGCCTTGACACAATCCTGTCTTGGAGCTCTACAGACAATTCCTTCGACCTCATGGCTTGGTTTTTGCTCTGACATGCACTGTCAACTGTGAGACCTTATATAGACAGGTGTGTGCCTTTCCAAATCATGTCCAATCAATTGAATTTCCCACAGGTGGACTCCAATCAAGTTGTAGAAACATCTCAAGGATGATCAATGGAAACAGGATGCACCTGAGCTCAATTTCATGTCTCATAGCAAAGGGTCTGAATACTTATGTAAATAATGTATTTCCGTTTATTTTATTTTATAAATTTGCTAAAATCTAAAAAAAACTGTTTTCGCTTTGTTATTATGGGGTATTGTGTGTAGATTGATGAGGATTTTTATTTATTTAATCCATCTCAAAATAAGGCTGTAACGTAACAAAATGTGGAAAAAGTCAAGGGGTCTGAATACTTTCCGAAGGCACTGTACATATTCAAGCCAAGGCATATGTGGTTTGTTAGTTTGCTCTAAGCCGATGCTGGAATTCACTTTCTATTGTAAGGAAATAGAGCAAAGATAACCTGATGTTTGTCTAGAACTGATAGATTCCAGATATTCTGACTCTGTCATATTTACCTTTTTCTGTAGCTAACAATGCAAAGCTGGGCCTGACTGAAACCAAACTCGCCATAATTCCAGGAGCAGGTAAGGTTTCATTTCCTAGAGTGCTGTTGTGCCAGTGTGTGCTAAGCCTACATTTCCTGAAATTGACATTCAAACCAAAAATGCTTGCCTTCCAAATTTGACCACAAGCAATATGGTGAATATACAACCCCTTTCTAAATTAAACAGTTTTGTGTTTCTAAGACATGGCAAGCTCAAGTGCATGTTGTTATTTAAAATAAATAGCACCGTTTGTCCAGGTATGGAGACATTCTCTCTATTGGCTGTTATCACGTCCTATGTCGATGGGCCACATGGCTTTTTCTTTCCCAGAATCCCAGAGAGTTCTTTATTTAGCATCCCTGGTGTACCAACTCTAACTGTTGACCAGACGTGAGGTTGACTGGGTAAATTTGGATTAAATGGTGCACCGCATTAAAATCTACGCAGAGATATATTTTTGGTTGCGGAATTGTTTAATGTGGCATAAGAAACAGAGCTTATGACAGTGTCTGTGTCTCTGTGTATTCTAAAAGAAAAGCTGCTCCGATACGTAAGCAAGGGAGAGATACAGTGGGGAGAACAAGTATTTGATGCACTGCCGATTTTGCAGGTTTTCCTACTTACAAAGCATGTAGAGGTCTGTAATTTTTATCATAGGTACACTTCAACTGTGAGAGACGGAATCTAAAACAAAAATCCAGAAAATCACATTGTATGATTTTTAAGTAATTAATTTGCATTTTATTGCATGACATAAGTATTTGATACACCAGAAAAGCAGAACTTAATATTTGGTACAGAAACCTTTGTTTGCAATTACAGAGATCATATGTTTCCTGTAGGTCTTGACCAGGTTTGCACACACTGCAGCAGGGATTTTGGCCCACTCCTCCATACAGACCTTCTCCAGATCCTTCAGGTTTCGGGGCTGTCGCTGGGCAATACGGACTTTCAGCTCCCTCTAAAGATGTTCTATTGGGTTCAGGTCTGGAGACTGGCTAGGCCACTCCAGGACCTTGAGATGCTTCTTACGGAGCCACTCCTTAGTTGCCCTGGCTGTGTGTTTCGG